GCCTGCACGGATTACCTCCTCTGAGCTGGGCGAGGTGGGACAGGGGCCAGGAGCAGCGGTAGGGATGGTGACCCAAAAGCCCTTTCCTGTGGGCTGGGAGCAGCGGGAGGAATGGTGGCCAGGAAGCCCCTTCCTCTGGACCAGGAGCAGTGGGATGGTGGCTCAGAATCCCCTCCCTCTTGGCTGGGAGCAGTGGGAGGGATGGTGGCCTGGAAGCTCCTTCCTGTGGGCCAGGATCAGCGGGACAGAAGGTGGCCCAAAAGTCCTTTCCTCTGGGCTGGGAGCAGCAGGAGGGATGCTGACTGGGAAGTCCCTTCCTCTGGACCAGGAGCAGTGGGAGGGTGCCTCAGAAGCCCCTACCTCTGGGCAGAGAACAGCGGGACTCAGTACCTTGGTCTGGTGGTTTGGTGTCCTCTGCATCTTTGTAGTGTGGAACCAGGTGGCTGCCTGTCTGCAGCGGGGTGATTGGGTGTCTTCCGCGCAACTGGGGACCTTGGTAGGGCGTGGGCAGACCTGCCTGTCTGCAGCGGGCTGATTCGGCGTGTTCTGTGTGACTCAGGACCTCCGTAGGGCATGCCAATGTCTAATACATTTTAAGTTTTATCTAGAAACATGTTAAACATCAGAAAAAGTATTAGATACAATAAATATTATTAATTTGCATATAACCTAAGTAGTATATAAAGTGTGTTGATAGTAGTCATCAAGTTTCATTTTAAGATGTCAACGTAGTACATATCCACAGATGTATTTTAAATATTGTATTACTTATTTTATCATTGTTTGTCATATTTATCAAATAATGGAACATTAATAATAAAAGCAAAAGTTACATAGTGCATAGTATGTGCCAGGAAGTATTTAAATAATTTTGTGCATATTAAGGTAGCTCACCCAGAATAACCTGTGAGGTAGGTACTGTTATGCATATTAAAAAGTGAAGCCTGACTTTGATTCCCAGGTCCAATTTTGAGTGACATTGGGCAATTCATTAACCATTTTGAGCCCTACTTTCTTTTTAATCTTCAAAGTGACATAACACTTACTTCATAGAGTTATTGTGGAAAATAAATGATGGATCTAGAGTTAGCCACCTGATGTGTAATTAGCTCTCAAGAAATTTAGCCTTCCTTCCTGTTTCAGTGACCTACTAACAAGAGTATTAGTCCTGGCATATTAGCTGCTGTATTTATTTTTGCTTGGGTGAAAAGCATTAACATTATTTGAATAATTACTTGGTGATAATAAAATTGCTTTGAAGAAAAAGTCATTGGATCTCTTTGAAAATTCCCTCAGATGTTTAAAAATAATGGATTAATCCCAGCTGACAGGAAGTGTATCTCTTAGTGTGAAGAGAATATTGGTGATTTTCAAGAGACTTAGGTGATATTTTTTTCCCTAGTCTTTGCAGGCAGAGTGATAGCTGTTTTCATGGCTGCTTATAATTCAGTTTGTCAACCCTATTGCTAATATATTTGGCATCCATGGCTTAAAAAATCTTTTTGTTTCCTAATATTATATAATCTATGTTTAATTATTTAAAATCATTGGTGAGAAATTAGACATATATTTTGCTTTTGTTATAATTTAAATTTTAAAAATACATTATTACTCCATAGTGCTATGTTCCCATTGCCTTGGCTAATAAAAAGCAAGTTATTAAGAATGATGGAGTTCATGATTGATGGTGGTGGTTGTGAAATGAAATTGAAAACATCAAGGATATACAATTTACTTATCCACAAAGCCTAAAATTGTACTTTGGACATCCAAATCCATTTTTATACTTTTTTTTTTTGCATTTAAAAATAAGTTTCAACATTGTAAATCAGGGATGTGGAATAGGTTTGTTCATTGTGGGCAAATGATGTTGCTTCATTGATGAGCTATGATTCTTCAGTTTCTTATTCTTGTTCCATAAAGCTACTGAACTAATATGAAGAATTCTTCCATGGTTTAAAAATTAACTGTTGATACCTTAGCATGGTGGTACATTCCTGTAATCCTAGCACTATGGGAAGCTGAGGCAGGAGAATCACAAGTTCCAGCCCAGCCTGGGCAGCTTTCTAACTAAGTGAGACCCTATGTTAAAAAAAAGGGGAGGGGGCTTGGAATGCAGCTAGGTTAGAAGGCCTAGGGTTCAATCCCCAGTACTGTAAAAAGAATTGTTAAAAATAATTAAGTAAGACCTATTACATCTTTATTAGTGTAATTAAGTAAAGTCTGATTCATTTTCACCAAATTTATTCACTGTTATTTGGTGAGAATCCAGTTTGCTTCTCTATGTTTGTTCACATCCTTTCTGATTTTCTTATCATCAGCAGGAATAGTCTTTCCAGGGCAGTGGTAAATTTCTCACCTCCTATGGGATGAAGTCATCCCATCTGTGTATTGCACGCACCCTTACTTCATGACCCCATGCCTCACCCTATAGCCAGGCTTTATTTGCTCAGTAACTTCTTAGCTCTCTGTATCTTGGTTTTGGTAACTGACATTTATTTTCACTTTGATATCTGAACTACAGAGCCTACCAGTGGGATTCTTGCTGGGAGACATGCCAGGTCAATTCTGGCAGACTGCATTGGAAGGCATCAAGTTTAGACAAAAATCCTGAGAGCTGCCTAAATCTTTGAAGCAATCTCATGTCGACATGAACTAGACATGAGAAACATTTTATTTTAGGAAAGTGGAACTGAATAAATGTAGGTATTCAAAAATTCCAAAGAGAAAGAACTATATGCATTTTCCTCCCTCTTATCCCCTGAGATTGTCTGCAACACTCCAGCATGTGCAGTCCTTCAGCATTTCAGAATTGATGGGCTCCAGATGGAATCACAGTGTGAACTTACTGGCCATCACCAGCCTGCCCTTGACTTCATGCGTTTCTCTAGCCCCATGTTCACCAAGAAGAATCTGTGGAATAATGAGGCTATCAACCAAGTCCACAGGGTGGAAAAACCCTTCAAACATTAACTTCAAAGACTAGATCATAATTTGTAAAACCTAATGTAAACAGGAAAGGGGGGGGAGGTGTGAATGTAAGCTGCTAGCAATTAGGCACTAATTATGTTCCTTTGCTTGGGTAGCTGCAGCAACTCAGCAGTACCACTTCTGTCTCTTTCAAATGTATGAGGAGTCCTCAGACTAATTTTTCTTAGTGAAATTAAGCCATAAATTGCAGGCAAACTAACAGTGAAGTATATTATCAGTATATCCAGATCTAAGTGGCTAACAGAATTTCTCAGTTCTGTTTATATTAAAGGCTCGATTAAGTGTAAAACATACAGCATGTCTGTTTGGTTCATCAGTAAACCCCTACAAATTAGCACAGGGCCTGGGACATAATTTTTGAACAAAAAAAGATGGAATTGAATGAATTTATTTCTCTTAATACTCTTAGAATCTGCCTCAAACATTGTGGAAATGAATTTATTTTCATTTATTTTATCAAGTGAAGAATGCCTACATTAAGAGAATTGTTTAATATTTTAATAGTATCTTCTTTGAAAATTAATTCTTATGACCTATTAATCTAGATGTCAAATAGGTAATTAAGGGGCAAAATATGTCAGCACTCCATGTATTTCAGAGAACTGTGTTTTTTATTTTTGACAATAAATTCTTTAAATAATATTTCACTTTCAAAATTTTCATTTTTTTTTGGCCATAGAAGTGAAATGTAATAGAAATAGCACTATGGGAAGTTGAGGCAGGAGAATCACAAGTTCCAGCCCAGCCTGGGCAACTTTCTAACTTAGTGAGACCCTACATTTCTCATTAAATTGAGTCCCGAGGCTCCACAGACATGAGTCAAGTTACCAGTATAAAAGGGCCTTGCAAGGCATTGGTAGATCATACAGAGGCAAGGTACAGGTAAAAATGACTTGCATTCCATTAATAATTTTAAGTGTCTTTTATATCTAAGGTACTGCAGGATATGCAAAGGATGTTAAATACTGTAGGAGATAATGGAATATGGAAGAGTAGGGAAGACATGGTCTCTGACCTAAACAGGGATATCATTTAATAAAAACAAAGAGAAAGATTGGTTCAAACAAAGCAGGCAGATGGTTCAGAATAGTTGCGGCTCTGAACTTGCATTGTCTAAAAAGAACCAATTACTTTGGCTGGAAACAGGGTTATATGAAAGTTTTAGATTAGCTAGAGGTCAACTGGTGGTAATAAAGGAGCAATATTCTGATTTGATGGTAACCAGTGGAGACACAGAATAAAGGATCAGGATCAAATTCATTTTATTTTCAAAGAAAGTTTACTTCCCTAGTTTTTTATTACCTTTGGTTTCTGCTGCCCCCTCCCTTACTAATGGTGCCACACTTTCTACATGATGAAGATTTTCTACAGAGAGGCTAACATAGTATGGCGGTAGGAAGCCTACAGATATCCTCATAGAAAAATCTCCCAGCATTAAGATAAATGGGCATTTCTCTACTTGTGTTTCTTTTTATTTACAGAGCCACCCAAAGTCACTGTGATGCCCAAGAATCAGTCTTTCACAGGAGGGTCTGATGTCTCCATCATGTGTTCTGCAACAGGTTATCCCAAACCAAAGATTGCCTGGACTGTTAATGATATGTTTATCATGGGTTCACACAGGTACTGGGTTTGTATCATCTTCTTTGTTTTTATTGAATAAGAAAAGTTGATGCAATTGTTGGATCAAATGAATTTGACCAAATCTCTAATACTAAAAGAGGCTTGATGAAAACCCACACTTTTACATTTTCTTAACAGACTGCAAAATGTCAAAAAAGTAATAAAATAGTGACTTTATATAAGTCTTAAATTCAATAGCTAAGACCAAGTGCTTTCCAATATTTTGAGTTGCAGAAATAACACCGTAATACTTGGTTTATCATAAGGAATTAAATTGGGTTAATAAGCTTTCTATGTGTGTTGGGGGGAATATATCATACTAACAAATCTTTTTTTTTTTTTTTGGTACGGGGGATTGAACTCAGGACCTTGCACTTGCTAGGCAGGCACAGTGCCAATGAGCTAAATCCCTGAGCCCTCATACTAACAAATCTTTAAAGACGTTGTCTGAAATTTTAACAGGAGGAAGAGAGGAAGAGGAGAAGAAGTGGGAGGGGCCAAAAGGACACAAAAGCAGTCCTAATTACAGTGTGTGGAGACATTCATAGTAACTGCTTCCACTACTGTATTGAGAGACAGTTTATTCTACTGAATATTTCTTAAACACATTGAATCCTTTCATTCCCAGAGAGAGTAATAAACATTGGAACATAAACAACAAGTTTTCCAACCATCAGGCTTCCATCACTCTGGGTTTGGCATAAAGAGAAAGGCGTAGGTATGATCCAGCAAGCTGGCCAGATTCTCTTCCTGAACTCATCACAGGCTCACTGTGGGATAGGAGTCATTATATCTTTTAACAGTTTCATTGTGAGAAATCCCTTAGCATAGCAGATCAAGGAGCAAGGTTACCTAGAGGCAAATTCTAGCGTTTTCATTTAGTAACTCTGACTTTGGGCGCATTAATGTAATCTCTATGGTCATTTGTAAAACAGAGATACTAATATTATCTAACTCATTAGGTGGTAGGAAGATTGAAAATGGGAATAAATGCAAAGCTCCTGTGGTAATCCCTGGTATGTGGCCGGTACTGGGTACATGACACGGTATCTTTTATTATTATTACATCTCTGCTTGTAAACTGATAATGTTAATCATTTTTGCAATCAGCAACAAAAATATAATTAAAGTATTTGCAAATATCTGAAAGGAAGGTGCTATAGTATTTTGATACCCTATTGCTGTATTTTAAATTTTATTTTTGTTTTTCTCCCACAGGTATAGGATGACCTCAGAAGGTACCTTGTTTATTAAAAATGCAGTTCCCAAAGATGCAGGGATGTATGGCTGCTTGGCAAGTAATTCAGCTGGAACAGATAAACAGACTTCTACCCTCAGATACATTGGCAAGTACAGTTTAAAAGGCACTTCCGTTAGGATGAATATCTTTTCAAGAAATATGTAAAAGTAACTTTCTGAAAATTAATATTAGAAATAAATTATACCTAACATTTTATAATTTAATATTCATTTCACATATTGACTCAAACAAATATTGGGAAGAGTGAGTAGCTTTATTAGTCAACAGAAATTAAGGAAGCTTCCAGTTAGAGTTCCAGATTGTCCACAGAATTCTGTGCTTCATCTGTTGTCAATTATATTTCACTTTCAAATTAATAAATTCTATATTCTTTCTACCTTGCCTCAACTTTTATATTTTATGGTTCTCTTCAAAACTGTATATCATATTATTTTCATTTTTCTATAATTTCTCCCTACCATATTTAAACATTAATTGAAGATGAACTTTATTATGATTATTTGATAGAATATTTCTACTTCATTTGGTCTTTCTAAATCAAATGTAGGATGAAAGCATCATATGCTCAATGTGAGGTTGTAAATTGAGATAGTAAAACTACAGTGAGATAGTAAAACTAGTAATGCACAGGAAGGAATATGAAAGAACCACACTGAAGATAGAGACTTGATATTGGCATGTGTAGATGAGAAAGGGAACAAAAGTATCATAGGTATTGCAGCTGAGCGCCTGGAAAGAGGTAATCTTATTTATAGAAATGAGGAAGGTACATGATAAGTTTCTAAGGCAGAATGGGCTCAGATTTAGAAATAATTGAATTGGAAATGTTCACTGAACATATACATAGGTGGAGAGGAAACAAACACATAGGAACGTTGAATAAGCTGAAACAGAATTCTACATTATAGAAAAAGTTTGCTTCATTTACATAAAAACCAAAATAGCAGCACATTTATTTAATATATTAAGTATACATTTTAAAACGCTATGCTAGATACACAAAACACTGTGCTAGAGACTGTAGAGATGAAATTTTTAAAAATATATGTTATAATAGTCTATAATGGGAGTGGATACATAAAAATAACAAGGCAGCCAAATGAATATAGGTAGGAGGTCATTGGTAGGGGGAAAGTTAGTTTTAACTGTGAAATTTACAAAGATTCTCAAAAGAGAGAATTTAGGATGACTGTGGAACAATGAGAAGGATTTGAAGAGTTGCGGCAAAGGGCATTTTAGGAAGAGGAAACATAGTAAAATAGAAAGATAAAAGTGAAGTGTGTTATGTTGGGGTTACCAATGTAGATCTCTATCTTATGATAGAAGAATTATGTTGAAGGGTAAGGTTAAAAAGAAAACTGTGTACCAGTTTGTGATTTTTGAAAACCAAATTATGGAATTATGAAATTAGTGATAATCACTGCCAATTTTCTAGTAGAGGAGTAAAATGATCTTTGAGAAATTAACTCTGAGTTTTGTTTAAAACTGCCTCAGTGGAGGGTAGGAAGTCTCAAAATGTCAAGATTAAACAATATATGAGTGAACTAATGCATTAAAGAAGTGAAGTGAATATATTCTATTTGAAACCTAAGGAAATAAATGTATATTACATTAGAGAATATCTGTATTTAGCATCACAGATAAAAAAGTAGAGTCAAAACTGAGACTATAGATGCAAATATTAGTGTTGCACTGCAAAAAGAGATCTCTGTAGTTAGACATGAATATCCTTAAAATCACATAGCCTTTTTTTCAATCTATTTATATTAAATTATTTTTCTCTTTTCCTTTACTCTTGTTGTGATAAGATATATTCACCTTTGCTAGATTTTTCTTTCATTGTATCTTTCTCATAATCACCTTTCAGTTAATTTCCTAAATTGTTTGTACTTTGTTTTATAATAATTATTCTATGTTTTAGTTTACTTCTGTAATTTATGGCTAATATCTTTATTTGGCCTTAAGTGATTTTTAAATCATATATACATTTATATTCAAGTACATTATGAGTTCCTTTCTTTTATAAACACCGAAATAGCTACGCACATGTAAATATTGCTAATTTTTTATTGATTCATCTAGAAAACATAATCAAAGACCATGTGCGAAAGGTGCTAGATGCTGACTATTGCACACTTGTTTTTTCAGAAGCCCCAAAGTTGATTGTAGTTCAGAGTGAGCTGTTGGTTGCCCTTGGGGATACAACAGTTATGGAATGCAAAACCTCTGGTGTTCCTCCACCTCAAGTTAAATGGTTCAAAGGTACATTTCTTAAGTATGTTCATGTCTGGCTCACTTAGCTTTGTTTTCTTTTTTTGAAAAAAAATAATTTTGTTAAAAATTTGTTTTGCTGTGTGACTTAGCAGCCCCATAAAATGTGTTTATGATCTCACTGGAGACAATAGTTCAAAATTCTGAACTCTAAATTTCAGGATTTGACATCTGGTATGGATTACAGGACGTGAAAATCAAAGCAGGAAAAGTCTGCCTTTGCTAATCCAGCTGAACATTCTCTTTGTTAGTTTAGGATTGTTTCCTGTAGAAAATTGTCCAAGAATACTCAGTTAATGTTTAAAATAGTTTCACTGATTTTGGTTCACTTTTCTTAGAGATGAAAGCTTCTATTATGAAAGTTTTCTACATTCTTGAGGGTACTTTCTATAAAGTGTTTAACTGAAGACACACATTGAAAAGAGCGTTGAAAGATAAATGTATGTTTTAACCAGCTCCATCAGGCATAGTAGATGCTTGTATCAAGTATAGAAATAGTATATAGTATATAGAAATATCTATCTATATTTGTCATATAAGACTAGACCTTTGTGATTTAATAATAAAATAACAGTAATATGCCACTTGGCCTTAGTGAAAAGACAGTTGTATCCTGCTCTAGGTTCAGATGTTGACAGTAGATATCTGTGTAAAAACTTCTGCTTCTGCTTCTGCTTTTGCCTCAGTGCTTCCAATTTACAAAAACAGAAAAAAAAACTCCCAAACACCCTAACGAGGATGTTGCTAGGATTATCAAGATGCTGTTTGCAAAATACTTTTTAATCTTCAGATGCAAAATGTTAAATAGTACAAAGAACTATTGTTATGATTCTGTTTGCTAAAGCATAGATGTTCCCATAGCAACAGGTTGATCTCATAATCACAAAATTATGAATTCACCTCGGGTTCAAATCTTAGGGAACATGAGGTGAAAGAAAAAGGTTTTATGTGGAAAATAAATATTTTTAAATACTGTAAATCAAAAGCAGGGAGAGAAACTAGTGTCATTTGCATGGTTTTCTATGTTAAATTTTTTTTTTTTAGTTTCCATATTTTCCTTGATTAAGAAAGACCTTCTGGATTTGCTCCTTGGTTAGGTTTATTTCAATTAATATGAATTAATTTTGCTTATTTAAAGTACTTAAATATTTTAATTACCAATGAAATAGATCCCAATTTCAAATTCACATTACAATTAAGTAGATTTAGAAAATATGTTATGGAGTATTTTTAAAATTCATTCATTTTATTCATTCATATTTTTTGATGAAAATAAAAATTCAAAAGTAATGAAAATGTGCTGATTTCCCTCCCTGTGTACAGCAGAGTTACATAAAGTCTTTTATTCTCTGAGACTGGAGTTGTCTCTTGAAAAAGTTTTCGTGCAAGTCTTGGTCCCACAAATAACTTGCAGACTAAGGGAGGAAATGGGGAACCATGCAGCCACCACACAGAAGAATCTAGAATTTACTGCTATTAGTTTCCTTTCTCAGCTGTAGATTCATAAACTGCAGTTCAGTGGGTCTAGTAAATAACATAACATTCTCCTATTCATGTTATGAACCAACAGAGATTGAATGTGGGCATTAGATACTGACTGACTATATTGGAAGACATGTTCCCATTATTTGTCAACAATAGTAGCAGCTGCTCCTAATCCCAAGATCAGGCCAACCTGTGCTTCCATTCATAGGCAGTGTACCCTATAAGGAGAGTCAGCACCATCAAGAAAATAACTGTAGGACAAACTTCCACAATCAGATTGGCTCCAAAAAGAAGGGGTTGAGGACAGGTAGACCTTTCTATCCTACCCTTACTGAGGACAAGACACAAGGAAGATTAAGAAAATCCTACCTCATGGAGACCATACAGTGAAGAATTCCTGCTTTAACCTTAAAAATAACCTTTTCTTAGACTTTTCCTCAGATAATTATGATTAAATAAAGTGTTCAAAAGAAACAAAAACAGTATTCTATTCAAACCATTAGAAAAAATTCCAGAAGTACAAATGCTCTCTACAATTTTAAAGAAATTTAAAATTTCTTTCATCTCTAGAAATGAGCAAATAAAGTGGGTTTAAAGGAGAATCGGGGATACTATTAAGAGATAAAGAAAAGGATATTTGTGGTAAAATATTAAAGAAATTAAATTAATTTTTTTAGGTTAGTGGTTCTTAAAATATGATTTGAAATCTCTGGGTTTTTTCTCACAATTGTGTCAAGAGATCCACAAGATTGAAATTATTTTCATAATACTATTGGATGTTATTTGTTGTTTTCACTCTCATTGCTTCAGCAGTGCACAGTGAATCTGTATAATGTGTGATATTCAGTAAAAGAATGTGGAAGCAAATTTTCAGTTGTCTTTTATTAAACAAGATATTAGACATTATATACATTTGCAAAAATGTTAATGCCACTGTCCTTACTGCATTTTTCTTCTTTGGCAAAATATTAATTTTTCATAAAATATATTTATTATGTTAAAATATCACCAGTTAATTATGTTAACTTATATGTTTTTAATTTTTTCAGTTTGATATTTAAAATACTAAAAACAAATGATAATTCACATAGAAATTCATTTGGGTAACTTAAGGGGTCTTTAGACAAGCGTTTTTGATAAATATTTAATTATCATCAACTCTTTGAAAGGCTCTTATGCAAAGAGTAATGATGTCCCTGTTAGTCTTTATACCCACAGAAGCTAGGATTGAATTTAAATTAGAGCTGAAGGAACTTCCTCATTGGTCATGAGTGTTAAATCCTATAATATGTTACCAGGAAAATTTATACATTTTACTATGTATAATGTTTTATTTTGGAAAAAGGCTCTTAGCAAAAGGTCTTTATTTCATCCTTCAACAGTATGTTTTGTCTTCAGGAATGTAAAAAAGAAGTAAATTTCAAAAATCTAAGTGCATTTTAGTCCAAACATTTTAATACTTAATGAACAACAAGGTCACATTGCATCCTCTCTCAGTGGGAAGAAAGTTTATGTCAACAGCATCTGCTTTTATTTATGAAAATTTCCCAGAGGCACATAGACAAAAGATTTATTTGCTTCTCTCATTCTCAAGTGGTATGTAGTAGCAAGTTTTAGAAGATGATTGGGAATTTTTTCATTTTGGAGTGCTGGAAAATTCTTTGTTTTTGGCACGGATAGTTCGGTTGCTAATGCAATATTTTTTGTATTTAAGTTTAAATTTAGAGCTCCTTTGACCTCTTCTCAGAAAATTATATAAACAAAAAGGGTTATCTATTGCCCTGAGTTGTGTCTTAGATAGATAGTAGCTCCTTTTGCCTATTACAGGCAAAGAGAGATACTTCTCAGGTCCTGGTTGCTGTGTGACAATTTGGAGAGTACCTTTGCAGGCTTGACTCCTGGAAGTGCCATGGAACTCAAAGAATAATATGGCCTTCTAACTTCCTGCAAGTTCTTAGGATTGTCACACATTTTATATCTTCTTCTACAAAACAGACAAAAAAGATGTGGACACTGAACTATCATTAGATATCAGCACTGTGTGCTTCTTTTGATACTGGCCATCCTGGTTAATCTGATTCTTTGGCCAGGTGATCCCCTGGAAGAAGGGAGCTGTAAGGACAAGCACAGCCTGAATTGCAGCTTATGTGAAGAGTTGTGTGCCTTCAAATAGAAGAGGTCACTGGGGGATTTGAAGAGCTATAGGAATACACAGCATGTGCAAGTAACCCCAATATGCTAGTCTCTCCTGGTTCATCCTACCCTCACATTTCGGGTGAACTCAACATGCCATTCTACCTTCTACAACTTCATTCCCCACCTGTTTCATCCTAAAACGGCATAACTGCAACTTCAGAAGTTGTAATGAATAGTACAGATTTTAGTTGAGGTATCCTTGGAGATTTATATAACAAAACTCCTCTGGCCTTTATCAGAAGTTTCTCATCCATTCTTTCTCATTTCTCAACAAGTTTTTCCATAGTCTCTCTAGCCATCTGTGTGGTCCTTCCTCCCCAGACATCCTTAGAACTTTTTCTGCCAGCTTATTATACCTCTCACAAGACAAAATTTAATTGGTAGTATTCAGCAAACCAAAAACCTGATCATTGGATAAATTAGGAAAACCTGTAGTTTTGCAAGCATTTCCTGGGTAACCAAAATACATACTGCCACAAAGACAGTAGAAATATCTTTTCAACCCTCACCTTTTTTGTTTGCTTCTTATCTGATGCAAGCTACCATCATAGCTGCTGCCCTTTCCCAGTTCTCCAGTGTAGCTTCAAAGATCTTATCCTTATTTAGGTACATACATAGATATAAATAGGAAATGTTTGTAAATACCTCAGTATGGGGCCAAATTTAAAACTATAGAAAGTGTCTATGTTGTGTAATACACTTGTATTTAAAATCTTTGTGATCAACCAATAGCTGAATAAATTATGTAAATAATTTAGTGTTTAATGTTCTCCCCTTTGTTCTGAATTAGGAGATCTTGAGTTGAGGCCCTCAACATTCCTCATCATTAACCCTCTCTTGGGACTTTTGAAGATTCAAGAAACTCAAGATCTGGATGCTGGTGATTATACATGTGTGGCTATCAATGATGCTGGTAGAGCAACTGGCAAGATAACCCTGGATGTTGGCTGTAAGCATCCTGATCTGATAAACTAATTTATTTTGAAATTGGTGTGTTATTTTTCCACGTGTAATAACTGTTACACAATTTGGTAGAAATTTTTGTCAGAATAGCTAAATTAAATTGAACATTTCAGATGATTAATACAATAATGGATGGCTTCAATGGACCATTCATTGTGCCAATAACTTTTTATGTATTCTCTCATTAAACTCACATAACAGCCTTAAGAGGAAGATGCTATCACTATGTATTATGTAGATAAGGAAACTGAGGCTCATAAAAGCCAAGCAATTTGATTAGGATTACAGAACTGTGTAGGAACAGAGCCTGGATGTCTGAACTCCAGTTTTCTGACTTTAGAGACTGTAGACTTTACCAAGTGTATCATCATATGTTGCCATTTTCCTGTCAGAAGTCATCCATTCTGCCACCAAGTTCCTCACTAGTAACATCTGGAAGCCAGAAATTAAACATTAGCCCTAGACTATAAATTAGAGATGCTGATGACAGCAAAGGTAACAGATGATGTTTTTATTTTAGTTTTTTAAATTCACTAGTAATTACTCTCCAGTGTATAAAATAAAGTGCTAACTACAAATAAATGTCAATCACTATGTGAAGGATACAATGTGTGCATGACAACTGTATTTGAGTGAGTCAAGAAATTTAGTTCCCCTCCTTCTTTGTTTTTCTATCGCACGTCTCTAAAAAATCTCTAAACAATGTGGTAAATTTTGAAATAAAACAGACCTTGTTTTTCATGGAAAAGAACCTGGCAGCGTCATTTAACGGATAATTAAAGATTTGCCTCTCTTAAAGCTTATAAAATATAATATTAAATTGCATTTTAATTTGTGAATAATATGAATGATGGTTTTTATGCCAAAATTGTTTTTTAATCAAAAGTTAGGAAAATGCATTTAAAAGCATTTTAATTCTGTCATCTTAAGTCTTTAAATGAAAATTACAGCCCTCTTTGCTTTGTATTTTGTTTTATGTAAACTAAACTTTTTCCTCCTAGGATCTATAAAATCTTCTTGCCCCTGGGCTAATGAATAATTTTCATTCTTGGTAATTATGCCCTTTAGGTAGAATCAACAAAGCTGGGAATGACCACAAAGACCACTATCAAATCTGTCCAGGGCACTATCAGATGTGTTTTAACCATGACTAAGTTTTCTGGGTTTTAAGAGAAATACCTTGGAAATAAGATTGGAGGCTCTGAGTAGAGACTACCTCTGAGTCTACCAAGATTGTGTAAAACTCACTAACATTTGTAGAAAAGTAAGGACCAAATAAGGAAGATTGGTAGGTAAAGAATTTGAGTTTTCAAGAAACATACTGATCATAGCATTTCTATTCTCAGCATTTTCTGGTTCTGCTTTTTCCTCCTTCCTGCATGGATAGATCTTATTTACCTTTCTTTTAGTGGTTTTTAGCACTAGAAGAGTAGAGAGACGCCCTCAATAATAATTCCAGTAAAAAGGCAATGACACCCTTACCTCCTTCCAAGTTTGTGTAAAGTCTAAGAATCTTACACATGTTGTGGGTGCTCATTTATTGCCTTCTTGACAATCATTTTAGCTGCTGGACTTTGTAGAGTGGTGCATCATGTACAGGATAAGGCTCTTTGTTCTGGGGTACCTTGCATTAGATTGGGAAACATTCCTACAAATATTTCATATTTATGCTTCTTTCTGTAGCTGAACTGAACTTTATCTTCACTCATATTCAAGATCCTCACTCTACATGACCCTTTCTAAAACAATAGATTTCTCAACTTTCATTCCAGTAAATATTCTGATAGAACCATTAATATAAACTTAATTATTTGCTTACTCTAACCTTAACCATTGTGAACATTTGCTAGATAACTTAGTATTAAACCACCATTTAGGTTTCTGTTATGCCTTAACTATATCCTTATTAACTATTATATTCTTCTTAGTGTAGCTTGCAAAGTTTGATTTGAATTGATGTGTTCACATGAAACTCTTGTTTCATATTCTAGCAGATACAGGATAGAAATGCCAAGAACATGTAAATCACAGTTGTAGTGATGATTGTTGTTTTCACTACTTAGTTCAAAGGCAAACACACTATCAGTCCAAACTTTATGGAGAAACTGGGGAGAGAATGGGTTGTCTGCCTGACTTTCCTTACCTAAAGATAAGGATATAATAGTTTCTACCTCATAGGTGGGTTGTAAAGATGAAATGAGACATCATCACCAGTGTATATTCAACATGTTAACTGTTACCAGTGAAGCTACTTAATGCAATATATATCAAGTGGATGAATATGAATATTAACTGCACAAATAAAGTGGTCATTTTCATTCTATGAGTCTTAAAAATAATATAGAAATGCCAATGGTGGCATAGATTTTAAGATGATTTTAAGCATTGGTCTTTCAATATGACAATCACCATTTCAAACTAACTTCTTTTTAGAAGAATTTGAGACAAGTTAAGAACTAAGCTTGGTGGTACATAAAATTATTTGAGTTCCAGAACTATTGGGCATAAATTTAAGTAGCTTATGACTTAAGAAGAAAAACATGCTTTTATCCATATCATGTAGTTATTTGGGATTTCACATTGTTTTTGTGGGCCTGTTACTTCACATTAACAATATTTGATCAGAAAATAATGAAAGGGGTGTTTAATATTACTTTTGAGTTCTAGATTCTTGTTGTAGGTGTCCTTTTGCTTATTTTTCATGATGATGGCTTTACATTGTGGACATTTCAGGTCGACAGGGAAACTTACCAGTGCTTCTTATCCTTTGTAAAAAAAAAAAAAAAAAGGGTAGTGAATTGTGAAGTCATTTGGAAGCAAAGAAGATTGGCTACATCAAGTAAAAAGTTGGCCTGGCAGCAATTTTATTTCTAGAATTCCACACCACACTGGGTTTGAGTCTCAAGCAGTGGTTTCGTGTTTTGTGGTTTGCTCGAACCAAAATAATGTGTCTAGTTATTTTAGGAAAGAAAATCTCTGGCCGACATAATTCAAGAGTTGCTGTGGAGGGAATATATTTTTAATTGGCTCTTAGGGAACTAGAAGAATTATTGAGGAATAGTTTCTAGAGCAAGGTGAACACTCTGTAACTTTTATATTTTCAAAATAATGTATGCATATAGCCATATCTATGTGTAAGTAACGCAAAGCTGACCCATGGCATTAACCCCATGTAGATCTCAAAGTCGGTGTACAAATGCTTAGAGGATCAAGCATTATTCTAAAAGACTACCTGAAAAAAGTTAAAGTTAAAATGAGCTACAGATATATTAAACTCCAGAGATAAGACTGAATAAATTGATTCTATAATAGGTATTTTGATGATAGTACTTGAATGATTCCTATGTACTAAATGGTTAATAAAGATTATACCTGTTAACAACATGAAATAGAACATATTTTGTTCATGGGGAAATTTAAAGGGGAGAAGGTAAACTAATTTTCCCAAGCTTATAGACTAAGCAGCAGTGGAGGCACCGTCTGAAACCACTTACTGGGCTCTTAACCTCTCTAGACAATGCAGCCTCCTCTGAGCAAGCACCATCCCCCTTATGACACCGCTCTCTACCCCTTGCTTCTTTAATCTGTTTCCCATCCACCCAGTGTAACTCCCTTAGAGGCTGTGTTGACCACAGTTGGGATAGGAAGTATTTAAGAGGTTTCTTGGCTGATTTAGGAGTCAGTTCAGTTTTTGAGATTTGCTTGTCGTTTATGCTGTCTTTGGCTGCTTACATAGTGTCTGGTTTTCTCATTTGTCTTGTTTTCGGATTTGAGTGCATGTATTCCTTGACTAAGTCTGTTTTACACTGGATGGCTTCTCCCATCCTGATTCTATTTTGTGGCTACAACATGAGCTGTGCTTATCCCTTTTTAGGTCAGATTTTTTTCTTTTACTTCTGATCATTCTAGATTATCTCCATTTTCACTGATGCTAGTGTTTAAAAGTGTTGGTAAATTGGTCTTTCTCCTAAGTATTTGGTTGATTCCAGGCCTTTTCATATCTTTTTTTTTTGCTATTTTAGAATTTGTTTTATATGCATCACTGCATTGCCTGCTCAAACTCCAAGTGTAACACATCTTGAGACTTTTAGACTTAATGTCCATTTTTCAGCAAAGCTATCAGCTTTAGGATAAATGAAGAACTTAGGAGAATCAAGCAATGAGGTGCTTTGTAAATAATATTTAAAATCCATTTTGCCTTAAAAAATTGTTTTGCAGTATTGGAGACACAGCAGGCAAGAGCTGGTGCTCTGAGCTGTAGCCTCAGCCCTTTTCTTATTTTATGGTGAGGCAGGGTCTTGAAGCTGCCTGGGCTATCCTTGAATTTTCAATCCTCCTGTCTCTGCCTCCTCAGTAGATGGGATTACAGAGGTGTGCCTCTGCACTTGAACTTACTTACTATTTTTATAAGTCAAATATATAGATTAAGAAAAATCTAAACACAAATAGGCCACTTCCTTTGTAAAACATTTTGTTCCATTATGGTATTTAACCTAATTTCTTTTTGATTAGGTTCAATAAATTAAAAAGAGGGATTCTGAAGTTGCCATGTTTCTTTCAGAAGTGACAGTTCATATGTACTGGGGTTGAGATTGTCATCATTAGAATATTTAAGGGCACAGTCACAAAAATACATCTACACTAGATTATTATGGAAGTTTTTTCATACTGATTCAGTAATTCATTCACAATTATCTAGTTGGCCACATATATCGCCCAGTACTATGTCAGTCTCTAGTAAAGTTAAATGTGTTTCCAATATAAACTCTACAGGGGAAAAAGGAGGCATGTAGTCTAATACAAGGCTGAATGCAACAACTACCTTGAGTACTGTAGAGAGTGGATTGTCTGAAACTTTGGAAAGGGAAGAAATCACGTCTGTCTCAGATGATGGGGTGACATTACAGGGGAGGGTCCTTTTGAACTGTACCGAAGAATTGTCAGTGTGTCAGCAGCCCAGATCCACGGTACACTTTACATTTGAGGGGGATGGTAAGAAGACAGGGACTGACATCAGAAAGGTCAATCCTTGTTTGGGGAAAAATAAGGAATGCCAATTACCCAGAGGTATGAAAATAACAAGAAATGAAGCCACAGAGTTAGAGATTCTCCAACCTAGGTTAAAAAGGCATTAAGTCTGCTTAGGAGATAGTGGTACATCCCAGCTTTAGAAGTCCCGTGAGAAGGAAAGAAATGGTTTCTCCCTGCATAACAGTGCGAATCTGAACAGTTATTAGGTCCCATGGAGAAGGGGAAGCGGATAAAATGAAAAGATTATGGTTCTGAACTTGAAACTATCATTCAATGCCGTGTGATACTGAGCAAATTAAATATCTTCACTCCTTCATCTTTAAAATCAGAGTAGTATTTAAAATATAAATAAGTATAAATATAAATAAATATAAATATAAAATACAAATAAATATAAAGTATTTAAAAAATAGTATTTACCCCAAAGGAATATTTTGAAGATTAAATGAAATAATTAATAGAAAGCCCTGAACAAAATCCCCGGCTGTGAAAGTGATAATTTTTATCATTTCCAACCAGGATTTAGCCTTAACTTTATCAAGGAGGCAGCCCTAGAGGACCACCTCTTAGAATCTTATAGAAGCAGATTTCTTCCATTGCTGCCAATAGTGCCTTATATAGTTCTTCTTGCCTTATGCCGTGAACATCATTAGGCACACGTTTCTGGGACGTATCGAGAGCCTCAGCTGTGTGTTCTTGCTGGCAGCATCTTCCTTATATCACATTCTTTTTTTTTTTTTCAAGGTGTGCCTCTAAATTGTTTCTGTCTCTTCTTCTTAGTTTCTGTAGGACACTGGATTATACAGGTATCTGTAACAGACTCCTTGTCTATAATTTTATAATTTCTGAGTTATTTCTCATTTCTGCCTATGCTATTAAGCACTTACTATACTGCTTTTATAAAATACTATGTTCCATTGTTTTAATTTGTATTGTTGATTCTCACACTTCTCTAACTCAAAAATTTTGAGTTATGAAGAGCAAAAATATGATATTGAACAAGGTTATAATTTAGGAGTAAATACCATTGACTTGTCAGATTATGATTATTAAAGAAAAACTCTGGTATAAATTAAGTCTGTGCAAAAAATTAAGCCAAAGGGAGAAATTTTGGAAAGTATCAAAAATATTATGTTACAGTGCCAACCTATTTATATGAAATTCTTAAGCTTTGAGCAGCATAACATGAACTAAAATTGAAAACAAATTTCTAAAATGAGAGAATCCCTTTATTAAGGATGATCTAGTTTAAATTCCCACTCTTCATATCATTTATTATTTTAAGGAAACAGTTGAGTTTTTTATTGTCTCTATTCATTTAAGAAGCAAAAAATTCATACCTGCTCTTCTGTATCAGACAGAAATAACTATAGGGTAAATTTACAATATTTTATGAACAATGATTTGATTCAAATTCAACGTTGATAATTTAATAATCTGTTGATATTCAATGTGCCTATATTTTATACTGATGTCTTTTTAATTTTTAATCTCTTACAGCTCCTCCAGTTTTCATACAGGAACCTGTCGATGTCTCTATGGAAATTGGCTCAAATGTGACATTACCTTGTTACGTCCAGGGTTATCCAGAGCCAAAGATCAAATGGCGAAAATCAGACAACATGCCGATTTTCTCAAGACCTTTTTCAGTTAGTTCCATCAGCCAACTAAGAACAGGAGCTCTCTTTATTTTAAGTAGGTTAAAGGAACTATATTTTATATAAATATACACATTTATATCTTAGTAGATTAAATTGCACTTGTTTTGGTTATGATATTTACAGGATTCCAACCATCCTTCTATTTAAAATCTTCTCTTGGCTTCTCTATTATCACAAGGTAAAAATCTCACTCTTTATAGAGCTTCAGCTTCAGCTTCCTGATTAAATCCACACAACCTGTAACTAAGTAGTCTGCACCATGATTACTTTTAATGTTATCTTTAATTATAAGTGTTTTATAATACTTTCTTTATCCTGAATAATTCCATATATTCACCCTACCTACATAATTAAAATATTTTAATATCTAACATGTAGTGCAAAGAAAAATAAGGGAAAGGAATTTATATTAAAATAGTATGTATTTCTATATATAAAGACTCACGCATAGTTATTTAGCATTGCCATGAATTTCACAGCTCAAATGCAGACTGATATAGGCATAAGATGTTGATACTGTTAAACTTTAAGCTAGAGTGATTTTTCTATAATCATGAATAATTTTTCTAAGGTTCTTTCTTCTACTTAAAAATGAATTGGGCTCATATAAGTACAAACAAAGGCCAAATTCATAAATTTCCAATGGAACCTTCAAAATTCTTGCTGGACTAGTTATAATTGTTCTTCCTGTGAATCTACATCATGTTTTGCCTCTCTAACTTTTGCCCAGTAAATGCAAATAAACTCTGCCAGTTACCCAGCCAACTAAAAATCTCCCCCACAAACTTCCAGTTTGTTCCCCAAGGTAGTGCTGCTTTCCATTCTTAAAGGTCTGTTGATTGATTTATTTTCAAGCCATCCTTTTGCCTTTGTAACCCACTAGATTTAGACAACCCTTTCTCTCTTCTGCCCACTTTTTCGGGTACAGCTCAGGTGCTGCCTTTGCTGTGAATCTTTCTGTAACTCCTTCACGTGCGGTCAGTCATTCTGAACTCTGCCTTCACCACCCATTGTCTGAAGCTCATATAGCATTTGCCACACGATGGTGGAATTGCTGATTTCTCTATGTCTCCTCCACTAGAAGGGAAACTACCAGAAGCCAGTAGCATAATTTCCATCTACTTATCTCAGTGCCTAGCACATAGTTAAGACTTCGCAAGTGGTATTGAATGAATAAATGAGTTCTTCTTTTTAGACTTATGGGCAAGCGATAAAGGAACCTATATTTGTGAAGCTGAAAACCAGTTTGGGAAGATCCAGTCACTGGCAACAGTAACAGTGACAGGACTTGGTAAGATCAATGAAATGTCTAGATACCACACTCTCCCACCTCCTCCGACTGCTTTTACTACATCTTTTTTTCCTGTGACATGTAAAAAAGAAAAACAAAGACCTGATTATTAGATTAGATTTTTCTCTCCTACCCCATTTCATATTTCGTTGAATGTTAGAACTACATATAACCTTAGAGATCATTTACTTCAAGCTTCTTATCTTCAATTCGAAAAAAATGAAGGCCAATTTAAACAAATTAGGTCTCAAGTCTCAATATAAACACACATACACACACATGTATGGTTCTTTTCTGGTTACCTTTTTATATTTATCATTTTGGTCCACATAGACTTATGATTTTGCATGATATGAAGTAAGAATAAAATATAGTTTATTTCTAAGTGGTGATACATGAGATTCAGTATCTTGTTGAATAATATCTTTCCACTGATTGAAATATCTATACACTGAATATATTATTCCTCTGTTTATTCCTTGGAATTCTTTTTTGCCCCAGCACTACATTTTTCATATTATTATAACATCTGATAGGATTTTTAAACATGTCAGTGCACATTTCTCAGTAACACCCTTTAATAAAATTTTCTTTATATATCTTCCATTTGTCTAAATTTTCCTGGTAAAACCTCTTAAGGGTTTTGTTTTGACTTATGCTAAAGTTACCACTGATTTCTATGAGAAGAACATATTTGTGGTATTTCTTTACTATTCCATCTCGCATAGTCCACCTCCTTCTATTTACTTCAGCTATTGTAACACTCTTCATATCGGACCTATTCCTTCTAATCTCTTCACAATTTTCAGATAAATATTTTCCTCCAAAATAGTTATGATGATTCTACTTTTCCATTTACAAATGCATTTTAGTCATTGTCCATTTGCCCTCCAAATGCATTCCAAGTATCTTAGCTTGACATTTCTGGCCTTCCAGGCTGTGTACATTTCTGTTTTACTTTCTTTATTTCTTCATTATTACCTATCCTTTTGCCATCCTTAGAATTACCTTTTATCTCTCCATTAAAATTAGTACTCATTTTCATTAAAAAGTTTAGATATTGAAAACTCAGGTTTTTATGGCATAACCAGTAGTTATCTTAGCCCATAGAATAGTTTGCCTTCCTTTTTGATGAAATAAAGTTGAAAGTTCCTGTGCTCTCTCTGATTCAGTTGCTCCTCTTATTGGAATCAGCCCTTCTGTAGCCAATGTTATTGAAGGACAGCAGCTTACTTTGCCTTGTACTCTTCTGGCTGGAAATCCAATTCCAGAACGTCAGTGGACTAAAAATTCAGCCATGGTAATAACACTTGAAATTCATGCCTTTGTATTACTAATTTTATGCAATAAGAAGTGATATATTCTAAATATTCAAATATAAACTTAATAAAATGGAAACTATGTTTTGGAAGTATACCAAAGTGTTCTTTATTGTTAACATATTTATCTCATTTATATTATTTTGAGATTAAAAAATGGAGAATGATTTCATTTTCGTAAATTTACACTAAATTCAATGTTTCTAATAACTCTTAACTCCCTTCAGAATATGCAAAAGCTGAAATAGTATTTTCATATTTTATACTTTTTTCAGGACATTATAAAATGTTAATATTCCCATAAAATTTTTTCAGTTTATATATTAATCTTTATTATTATTATTCAAACTTTATGTCTTCTATCATGAAATATTTCAGAATACAGATCTATAGTATATAATTGATTTTAGTATATAATTTTTAGTATAGAATTTTAATTATGAAAGGATGTGGAACACTTTTACAGTTACATGAAATTTTTCAGTAAACTTGGATTCTATCTTTAGAACATTCTAGTTCAGAGCATTTTCCCTTCTATTTCCGAGAATATTGTGACTTACTCCCTTCTTGAAGTCCTCATTGGAAGTGAATTGACTCTATGCAAGTTGTAAATTGTTCATATTTATATACAAGCCTTGGGAAAATTAGCATACCTCACAGTGATCACTAAACTTTCAGAGCTTTTAAGGATAATGAAGAGCCCACTTCCGGCATGTGTGCCATAGGTTTGCCACCACTGTATATAATGATTCTAGTTTAGCACCAACATATCCTGTATGCATTTTACATAAATGTAACAGGTTTAGAGGTGATCTTTCCTGTTTTATTTTGTTTTTTTTGTTACTGGAGATCGAACTTGGGACCTTTTGCTTGCAAAGCAGGCAGCGGAACCACTAAGCTAAATCCCTGGCCCTAGAGGTGATCTTTCTTAATTGAAAATGTTACCCGTCAGAGTTCTCTGACAGAATTCCTGTGTCACGTAGTGTCTACTAGTATTTTCATCCGTAAGATGACAAGGATGGTGTTGAGATTAATTGTCCCTCAGCTTGGATAAGTACCTATGTATCAAAATAAAAATATCAAACTTGCTAGTGATAATAAGGTCTTCTTGTAAAAAAACAATTTAAGCTAAAAAAAATTTGTTAGTAAAATTTGAGCCCCAAGTAATAAAAAAATTTACAGATTAAAAAAGCAAATTGCATCTATTTGTTCATTTTTCAAGCATGCATAAAACTCTTGGATAAATATTAGGTATAATTTTTGGAGATATATGAGTATTAAATGTAATTGATAGTTTCAGTAACATTTTATGCCCATCACTTTTTTTCTTAAGGGTTCTACAATACATTATTGTTTTATGTTTAATAATGCAGTTGGAAAAAAAACAGATTTGGTTTGACTCAGACAAATCCTTACCTTTTTAAATTAAAAATGACTTTTTTATTCCTTTAAGTTGGTGCAAAATCCTTACATAACTGTGCGCAGAGATGGGAGCCTCCATATTGAAAGAGTTCAGCTTCAGGATGGAGGCGAATATACTTGTGTGGCCAATAATGTTGCTGGAACCAGTAACAAAAGTACCTCTGTAGTTGTACATGGTAAGAGAGACAGACTCAATGTAACTTTTCCAAAAACTTATTCAAAGCTGGATTCATATGTTTTAATCATAAAATTCCCTTCTTCTAATTATAAGAAGTAGATATCTCTCCTAGTTATTATTTTATATTTCTTGAACAATATCTACATTGTTAATTCTGTTTCCAGATTTTCTTTTACTATGTACACAAAAAAGGCATTCTTGGGAGTCACCAGCTGAGTCTAGCTGAGGGCTTTTGTAAGTGGTTTCTTAATTGATAAAAGTGAATTCAGTTCTCAAAGCATTGTGCTTATTAAAATTCATTTTTATTTTATGGGAGCTGAACTTACTCTTCCATCCAAATTGCTATTTTCTTTTTTTAAATTGTGCAACAAGCATATCCGTACTGATGACTCATTTGTGTTTGAGCTGGAATGACCTAAGCTTTTCTTTTCTAAAGGTCACCTTATGTGCTCCAAACAACCTTCTGCATGTTAAATAACTTAAAGATCACAAATAAAATCCAGAGGCAATTCATTTGTGACTAACAGTTACCATTTTTACACCTTAATAAATAAGGGAAGATTTTGTAATTTAAGAAATTATGATCACATTTTGTATATTACCTTTAAAAACTGCAACATTGCTTTTATGTTTAAAAGTATAGCATTAAAAATAGCTTTGTGTACAGGGCTAACCCAAGGAAGAAAGTTGCCCAGAGCACTTATTTTTAATGATTCAATCTTCATTTAGAACATGAATTGTAGAATTCATTACTTTCCAGATTTTGTTGATCTTTTGAAAATATCACCAAATGCAGGCTGTCTTCTTTTTTTTATGCCCACTCTTCTCCCATCTCTCTCAACTTTATACCAATATCCACCAGCATCACCTTAAATATTCCTGAAGAAAAATTATCTTAAACACTAAAGCAACACTAAGTCAGTTATAACCAAAATGAGTGAATGCATAATGGTAGATACAATATTGTTGTGTAACTACTTTTAAAGAAGAGCAAAGTCCTGGAAAGTGATTATGGACTGGTTACAGCTCTCGGGTAGGAATGCCCTGTTGTCATATTCTTTTAACTTCTAGTGATGGCATAGAATATTGTGTCAGGAAGGATTCAGAAGATGGATTTCACCCGGATAAAGAAGTGACCGGATTAATTATAATTCCTGCTAGATTAGAGGGATAAGAAGACAGAGAAACCAATGATATAGTTTATTATGATGTTAGAAGCTTTTATAATCAAAAGTTAAGAGGTCATTTCACGACCGTTGTTTGCCCATTTTAGTTCAAAGTGAGCAGCTAATTTAGTTAAAAGGTTAAAAAACAACCCAGCCATTTAGCATCAACTAAACCTAACAACCATTTACCAAATGGTTGTGACACAGCATGGCAGTTTTATGTGCCTCTTTTATGTTAATTAGCAGTACCACTCTTTCTTCATTCTGCCTCTCCACTTTGAAGAATTTCTATTAAAAGTAAAGGTTCTCAACTAATTCTGAATGAATGAATGAATGAATGAATGAATGCAAATTGAAATGACAGTGCAGTATAATTTGTCATCAATATGACAAATATATTCAGGTTGGCAATCTGGACAGAAAGTGTTCTTCCATACCCAGATGTCATCAGATTTCAAAACTGGCATAAATTTGCCACTTTTCTTTATTGCTGTCAAACTTAATATGGATTTAAGAAAATGGTTTATTTCATGTTGCCACAAATTGGCAGCATATTTGAAAGTTGAATACTCCATCATGATTTTTAAAATTAAATTTCTTGCTGTAGTGAGTAGTCATTTCTTTAGGAAGAAATTATTGAAAGAACAAGGTCAGTTCAGCCATAGGAAAATATGAGTTCGTTGTATACTTAATTAAGCCTTCTAAGGAATGTTTGTACTGCATCCTCTGGTATTCCCACTCTAGCAAACTTCTACTTCAGGGTAGAATGACAATTCTGGAAATTTTTGGTTTTAAGCAAACGACATGGTAAGTGATTGAGCTCCAGGGAGCATTCTTGTCCCATCTTCCCAGGAGATGCAAAGGAAATGTCTGGAATATATCAGGCTTTTATTGTGTTTCTCACACTGTTGGAAGTGTTCACATGTGGAAGCTTCTTTAATCAAAGTCATTATTTTGAGTATTGACCATTTCTGTATATGAGTTTGTTCTAATTGTGATGCACGCAGAAGGAAGTGATTAACATTCCTCCTTTTCCTTTTGCTTCAATATTAGTCATATAATGTTAATTTTAAGTTGCTTTCTAAAGCCAGAAATAAATTATTCTTACTGGAAAATACTGACTTACAATTCTGTACTTTAGAATTTTAAATGTAAACTGTAAGTCTTTCAAGTTTCATTGTTGAATTTTTAAAGAAAACAAATCCTTTTTCTTTCTTTAAGTTAAACATGGTAACTCACTAAGTGATCCTTGTGTATAAACAAAAATTTTTATATAGTGATTATCCAGTCCATTTCTCTGGAGATGGGCTTATGTCAGCTCACCGCAGCTGAATAGGTAAGAGATAGGGACAGTGTTAAAAGGTTCACGTGGAATGGGTAACTCTTAGAGTTAGTCCTATCTTGGATTTCCGGGAAAAAATAAATATTCTTCATTTCTCTTTCATTTTTGTTAGAGAAGGTCAGTATACTAGACATTGTCCACTACTTGATGTCTGTTAAATTTGTTCAGATCATTAGTATTTTTAATTTCTTTGTTTATTTTGCATCTTTATCAGAATATGTTAAATCATCGCTCAGTTTTACAGAAGTTAAGTACATACTGAAAAGGTTCAATTTTAAGCGTATGATACTAAATAGAAGAACAGGTGCTTAGCTTCTGACTCTTGCTTTCCTTTTCAGTTCTGCCAACCATTCAGCATGGGCAGCAGATACTCAGCACAATTGAAGGCATTCCAATAACATTACCATGCAAAGCCAGTGGAATTCCCAAACCATCTATTGTCTGGACCAAGGTAAATGATACACCTACTGATATTCTCAAAAAGCAAAGTTTACTGGGAAAGTGAACCCTAGAGATTTGAACAAGAGAGTGGGAAAGTGAGGCCAGAAGGATAGGAAGCTAATAAAGTGCTGCTCTATGTCTGGCTTCCCCTGTACCTGGGCTGATGAACTTCAATGTGCTGTCAGCCCTCTAAGAAGCCATGTAAACAGATGTATCTCAGAAGGATCCCTCTGATGGACAGGAAGTGGGACATGTATACTGGACATGTGACAGCAGAGGAGGCAACATTCTAGTATTTCCTGGCTACCTGTGCACATGCTACACAACCTTCTGGGGCTTTGGATAAAGCCCTGAGACAAAAAGGTAAAGACTTGCTTTCAGGAAATATGACAGGGCACAGTGCACGGAGCTGTCCACTAGAGATGCAGTGAAATCAGGGAGCTGAAGTTATATGGCAAGGGGTAGAGCAGGATCACACTATACCACGTAAAGTTCTTAGAACAGTTCTTGGTACACAGGCTGTCCACAGAACAGTTGTTGTATTGCTAATGTGATCTAAGCATCAAGTAGGTGATAGTGCTAAAATCTTTTGTGGTTCCATCCATGTGACATAACTGCATGGATTTTCCTTTGTACAAGTTTCCTTAGTAAGTCACAAATCCCATAAATACCTAAAAATTAGGAAACTTATGTTCAAATTAACTCATTCACTTGGATCCTTGAAGTGAGGAGAAACCCACTTCCTTAGAAGTTCTTGTAATCTTTGGATTTTTTTTGGTTTTTTTGGTTTTTTTTGGTACCAGAGATTGAACTCAGGACCTTGTGCTTGCGAGGCAGGTGGCGGAACCACTGAGCTAAATCCCTGGCCCCAGAAGTTCTTTTAATCTTTGGCCACAGAGCTGGCATATTTTCTGTAACTTAACTTGAATCTGGGACATATAAAGCTAATATAAAATTATTATGTAATAATACAACGTGGGATTTATTTAGTGCTATAATTAGTGTTTTCCATACAATCTAAATTTATCCATCTAAAAACAATCTCTAAAATATGCAGAGGTTGGTGCTAACGTATGTTTTATATATATATATATATATAGAGAGAGAGAGAGAGAGAGAGAGAGAGAGAGAGAGAGAGAGAAATAAAAAGGTTAACATTTGTATATTCTGGACACAAAATAACAATGGTAAAGCTGATCTCCAAACTCCACAGTGTCTGATGTGAAGTAGAAGTTTAATACATGACATCTTCCTGGACTGCCTTTGTGCTCTGGTCAGAGAAGTTAAGAATTTAGGCTCCAAACCCTGACTCCTGGGTTTCCAAACCCAGCTCTACCACTGACTGGTTTTGTGGTCCTGAGTAAATTACTGTACCCTTCTATCCTTGTGCTTTAGTACTCCGAACTGTAATGTAGAGGTTGTGATAGTTCCTACCCATAAGATTGTTGTGAGTGTTAAAGTAGCTAATTCATTCAGGTAAAGTACAAAGCAGAGCCTGGTATAGGACACACACTCACAGTGCCATCCATTATCACTACTGTTATTCCGACCCTTGTTAAGTATCTCAAGGATAAAGGGGACATGATTCACTATGGAGAAATATCACTTACAGTACTTTTTCTTGCCTGTTTTTTCTTATAGATGACTCTTAGCATTTGAAAAAATCTTGTTTTTCTTCCTCTCCCACACATGAAGTCACTCCTTTATTATCATTTTAAAACCCTCTGTCTTACTGTGTTTATAGAAAGGCGAGCTGATTCCAACTAGCAGTGCTAAGTTTTCAGCAGGGGTTGATGGCAGTCTGTATGTGGTGTCACCTGGAGGCGAGGAGAGCGGGGAATACGTGTGCACAGCCACCAATGCTGCAGGCTACGCCAAAAGGAAAGTGCAGCTGACAGTCTATGGTGAGAGCCACCGGAGAGAGTTCTCCTTTGCCGCTGTCTCTCTGTGCAGAACCCACAGCTCTTTCCCAAGTATCATTACCAGACAGCTGCACCCCCTAAGTGAATCACTCCCTCAAGTTCATATTTTTACCAAAAAAAAATTATACTGCCAACTAAAATTGCCTCTATTTAGATTTCCATTTTCAGGAAAGTAATTATATAGCCTTCTGGAAAATTTTTATGGTGTTTTCCCAAGAAGTATGCTCCTGACAATCCAACACCACTTAGTTAACAGCAGTTAGTTAAAATTTCTCACATGGCTAAGCCCCAGCTATGTCTGGGTTGGACTCTCCCCAGAGGGGTCGCTGTCACAGATGGGAGCAGTGAAAGGACATTTCTGCAGATCTCTTCCAATCTGCTGGGAAGACGTGCTATGAAGGGAATTATGCTCCTCAATTCCCTTTTAGCTTTCACCATAAAATTATTATTGGAAAATTTTGGGTATGTCCTGAAACTTGAGAATAAATAACATCTTCTTAGGAATTACTTAAGATCAGTAGTAGTCCACATTTTAATATAAATTCAAGTGTGCTTTGTTTTCACTGTACTATTTCTCATTCATAATGTGTGTTCATTTTAGTAAGGCCCAGAGTGTTTGGAGAGCACCAAGGACTGTCCCAAGATAAGCCCGTTGAGATCTCTGCGCTGGCAGGGGAAGAGGTGACCCTTCCGTGTGAAGTGAAGAGCTTACCCCCACCCGTAATTACCTGGGCCAAAGAAACCCAGCTCATCTCGCCGTTTTCTCCAAGGTGAGAGATCTGGGATGAAATGCAGTGCATGGAAATACTAACTTTTGGGGACAGGTTGCTTGTGCTTGTTTAGGTTTTCAAATGTCTACAAAATATAACTTTGATAATTCACATGTACATCTGAGCCTACTGAAAATATACATGCCTTCTATCATTGTTTAATGTCAGAAATGCTAAGACTCGGCTTTGCCATAGTTTCCCACTGGTGCATTTTACAGGGTTGTTATTAAAATGGACCAGATTTGTCTGTAGATTCCTGTTAGCCCAGTGTGTGCAGCACAGGGTTGTTAATCCCTTCGGAACAATAGAACACAGTAGTCACTTTAATATCTGGCACTTCATTTTAATTAGATAGTTGTGTAAGTCTTCTTGATTAAACCCTTATGTAAATAAAAAGCCCACCAAGATTATATATTTGAGAGGCTAAGTGAAATGGCAAGAAAATTGTCAGAGCTTTAAGAATACAATCTTTGTTACCATCAAGGTATGAGTATAAATCTATCTGTGCTACCACTGCAAGCTTGCCCAAAGCTTTTAGCAGTTTTTTCAAGGAGTCTTTTTGTTCAAGGAGTCTCTTTCAACCTTATTAAGGATGTGATATAATGAATATTTAAATAAAAATTTATTACAATAAAAGACACATTGCCATTAATTCCCCTGAAAATATTCCCCTTTGCTTCAAAAACATACCTATCCCATCGTTCTTGCCACTTTTTGAAGCAGTTCTGAAAGTCCTCTGCTGTGAGTGTCTTTATGAGGTCTGATGAAAACTATGATGAATGCTGCTGTCTGGTGCCATCCAATGGAAAGTAGGTTTGTAGAAATATTATGATGTGTCCTCAACCCTCTTATTCAGCAGATCTGGCAACATGTGACTCTGGCTCTTCCCCAAAGTCAAAATGACCATGGAAGGTAAGCATTCTCAATCAATTCAAGACATCAAGGCAGCCACGACAGCGAAATTAAAGATACAAAAATCAAACTTCCAGAATTACTTCAGAAAATGGCAAGGGTATAAGTGTATTCGAAGTGACAGGGTGTATTTTTAGGGAGATTAACGGCAATGTGTCTTTTACTATATAATACATTCTTTAAAAATGTGTACCTTTACCTTATTTTTTAATCACACCACATATGTCCTGTTGTATCATGATGCTTATGTGAGAGGATTATATATAATAATGTACATTTTACATCCTCTGTATTTAATTCTAAATTTCTAACTTAATGCAACATCAAGCCAAAATTTAGTGGTGAATAAGAATTATTGTCTGTAGCTATCACTTGTTAGACTCATTGACATATAATTTAAATTATATATATGTATATGATATATATCATTTATAATTATAAATTATAAAGGTATGAATTTGTATTGGTGTAGTTCCTCTATCATTAGTTAGGAAAAATGACAAGAAATACTTTGCATAATTTTACTTTTTCTTGGTAAAATGATTTTTCTATTGAAGATTTTTGAGTAAGAAATACACTGTTGTAGATAAAGCTTAAGTTCTATTTCTCCCTTCCCCATTCAGAATTTTTTTCCCATCCTGGGCCAAACACTACAACCTTCATGTACATCCTTACATACTTAAATACCATACAAACTGTTTTTGAGTTTTGATATTGTTTTTGTGTGCTTGTTTTCATGTTGCCATTATAACATATAATATATTATTATTTTACTGCTTATTTTATTATGTCTACACTTATCCAATATAATTCATACATATAAATTCAATTTATTCATTTTAACCATTATATGCAAATTCTACATTTTATTTATCTGTTCCTTATTTATAAATGTTATGGGTTTTTTATTTTTATAAATAAATTTTTTAGTGAATACTTTTGTATATCTCTTTGTATACACATGCATAAATTTCTTTAGGATCTGTATGGAGAATTACAATTTCTGATCAGAGCAAATTCCTATTTCCAGCTTTGTAGACACTGCTAAATTTCTTTTCAAGTTGGACACATTGGTGTGTGCCTGTAATCTCAGCACTTAGGAGACAGAGGCAGGAGGATGGCCTTTTGAGGCTAGCCTGGACTACATAGTGAGATCTTATTTCAAAAAACTGCAAAACAATAAATTGCTTCAAAGGGGAAGTTCTGCTTTACCTCCCACCAATTGCATATAGGTGTATCAATTTCCATTTTCTAGTGAATGTATGGCATTGATTGACTTACACATTTTTTGCCAGTCATTGGATAGGAAATGATTTCTTTTCACTGTTTTAATATTCATGTGACTGGCTTAAAATGAACTGGGAACATGTGTACCTGATTGTCCTTTGTGTTATCCATGAGTTTTCTCTTTATGTACGCAACACAATTTTCTGCTTTCTTTTTCTTATTCAATGTAGAAATTTGGTGTTTGTTCTTGATTAAAAGCTTTTATCTGTTTTATGTGTTGAAAGTATCTTCTTTCAGACTATTGCCAAGTTTTAGGTTTATTTATGATATTTTTGTTGTACAGAATTTTTAAATTTTATAAAGCTCAATGTATTAATTTATTCTTCTAGATTTCTACAGTCTTCTTCAGGAAGAAGCTTATAATCTTAACCAACAGTGTTTTATTCCCCTTTTTTAAGCTTTGTTTTTCACATTTTGGACTTAATCCATCTGAATTTTTATTATGTGTGTAATATTAGATAGTTCTCTAATTTTATCTATTTATCTCATTTGGAAAACCAGTTGACTCATACTATTTTAAATACTCCATCCTTAACTTACAGTTCTTTAAAAAATATTATCTTTGGTTTTGCATACTATACGTTCAGTTCTCACGCATGCTTGGGTATTTTTAGATGTTTCTGCCCTTAACTGTTCATTTGTGTGTTTCTAGACTCATAGCATGCTTCATTTGACTTTGTTTTATAAGAAGTCTTGATAGTAGGTAGATCTGTCTAGCTCTTGTCTTCCCCCAAAGTACTTGAACATAATTCCATGCAATAACATTTTATATGTAGATCTGATTCATGCACTATTATTACTGGGTAGAAGGAATATGTTTAAACTATATTTGAAAACATTTGTACTTGTGTTTGCCCTTATTTTAACACACTAAATATTTTATGAATATAATACAATGTTCCAGATTTATTAAGGTATATATACATTTACTTTGTTTAGCTGCAACTTATTAATGCAGAAAAGTGTTCAGTTATATGATGACTTTAGACAATCGGGTTAGATTAAAAGTTTAAAAGAAAAGAAATTTTGTGTTTTCAAGAACATCATGCAGAATACACAAGGTAGTTATGAAAATTCCTCACTTTTTTGGTATATACATATGCATTTCAGATGGGAAGGTGGTTTCAAAACTTCCTTGCAGTGTAGTAACTACACTGATACGCAGCTGCATAGGGATATTTGAAGTCTTATGTTCTGTGGTCTGATATGTGTTTTGTTTTTTTCTTTCAGACACATGTTCCTCCCTTCTGGTTCAATGAAAATCACTGAGACCCGCATTTCAGATAGCGGGATGTATCTTTGTGTTGCCACAAATATTGCTGGAAATGTGACTCAGTCTGTTAAATTAAGTGTCTATGGTAAGTTTTGAAATGAATGCATTTCTCCTTTTTCAAATGAACTATCTTAAATTTTTGGATTTTAATTTTTCTAGATGTCTACAGTCACTTAGGATTTTTGTTATTGATACGCAGTAGAAAAGGTGTGCTTAAACTGGTAGAAGCTAACTAGGTTCTCAGGAAAGAATTTAATTGTTTCAGTTTTTAGCAACTAAAAAAAATTCTACTTCCTAGGATTCTTTGACTGCTTCACAAATCTCTTGGTGGTGTACTTTATCCCCACCATATTACAGTCCGTCCAAGTAATTACTCATTCATTTGGCCTTGATTACATGCTCTGTGCCAGGTCTGATGGTACATGTTCAAATACCAGAAGAAATGATCTCAGAAACTATTGACCTGAACTCACTCTCAGATCCCCTACAATAATGTCCTAGTGACCATGGGTTTTGACATCAGGTAAGAGTTCTGTCACTTAAGAGTTCAAGAATATGAAGCATATTAGCTAACCTCTCTTATTTTTATTTTTGTTATTCAAAAAATAATGGTAATAATGTTATCAAACTTGAAGGTTGTTGCGACTTTTAGAAAGTTAAAGAAAAATGAAAAATAAATGGAGTTTTTGTAGGATATATGGTACCTAAATTCTAATTATATCCTTATGGCTCTACTTTATTCTACAGTACACAATGGTATATATGTGGAAACCATGAATATTTTTCCAGTTTTGATAAACAACTTCATTTAAATTTCTAAACCAAGATAGATAAGGAGAAATACTAGAGGCTCTATGTAATCTTCTCCCAAATTAGCAAAGGATTTGTGAGTCCCCTTTATTATTATTATTCTGTCTTCCACAAAAGAGTACCAGAAAACAAGACTGAAAACATGGAGAGATATACTTTTTGTTTTACTCTCTTACATTACAGAAATTATCTAGATTGGCTTTTAAGATGGCTTTAACAATTTAAATTATTTATAAACTAAAGAAAACCTAATATTTTTAAATGATTGGCATCCTCAAGTTTGGAGGTAAGAATTTTATATTTATGATGTCCTATTTCCTACTAATATTCTATCAGTAAATTTTATTTTGCTTGTATTACTAAGGAAACAGATCACAGGAAGTTTAATGATTTATTTTAAAGATTACACAGGTAGCAAGTGACCCAATCTTGAGATTGCTTTGCTTTTCCATGCTACTTTTTAGTAAAGGGCTCTCATTTAGAGTGAGAAAATAAAGGATTTTCAAAATTTGATTAATAGGAGCTGGGGATTTAGCTCAGTGGTTCCGCTGCCTGCCTTGCAAGTGCAAGGACCCGAGTTCGATCTCCGGTATCAAAAATAAAAAGACACACATGATTCAAAAATTTGATTAATAATACTTAATGCTTGTTTCTAGTTCCTCCAAAGATACAACATGGCCCTAAACATATGAAAGTCCAAGTCAGTCTCCGAGTGGATATTCCATGTAATGCTCAAGGGTCGCCTCGTCCTGTGATCACCTGGTCTAAAGGGGGCCAGACCATATTGGCTGATGGAGTGCAGCACATTAGCGATCCAGATGGAACTTTAAGTATCAACAAAGCCATGCTCTCAGATGCTGGCATATATACATGTGTTGCGACTAACATAGCAGGCAGTGATGAAGCCGAGATAACGCTCCATGTCCAAGGTAGTGTTTGACATAGGAATATATATGTATGATGGGGGGGCATGGAAGAAAACTACTGAAGTCTATTTAAGACATATAATCTTGAGTAGTCTTGGATCACTTTAGGAAGAAGATTCTTTAGGATCTTTAATTTTGAAAAGAGAATGATTCCAGAAGGAAATGAAACCATACTATAACCAAACCTGCATGCATTTTCATGTTTACTTTTGAAAGGAAGTCATTGTTTGGACTGAGAATTTAGCTCAGGGGCACTGAGCCTGCCTTGCATGCACAGGGTCCTGAATTCAATCCCTGTACTGAGAGAGAGAGAGAGAGAGAGAGAAATGATATCATTGTAGGTGATGTACTTCTGGCTTGAGAGAAATGGTGGGCAGTTAGTTAGATTATGGTTTCACATCTCACTGATAGTTTGCACTCAAAATTGATTCTTAGAAAGTGGAAGTCTACTGCTCCCTATTGACATCAGCCTTATTTTGAGGTTTCAAAGGTCAAAATCTATTCCTTCAAGTAACAAATACTTACTGAGCTCTTGTCAGTGTTCCGTTGTGTTATAGGCAGGAGTAAGAAAATAATAACAAAGGCAAAGCCCCTGCTTTCATGACCTGTCCTGGCCTGCATAGACAGAAAGCAAGAAAGTAAAGAAAAAAAGAAGACATAGGGATGAAAAGTACAGTATAGAAAATTTAAGTGGGGTGCTACTTCCAAGAAGTTGGTTGCTTTAGGTTGGATTGTTGAGGAGGACTTCTTTGAAGAAGTGATATTTACAGAGTGATTTGGAAGTGACCAGAAGGAAGCAGCCATGTGAGAATCAGGGGGAAGAGTGTTCCTATCAGAGGCAGTACCAGTACAAAGGCAAGAAGAAAAAAATAATCAGATATAGTACTTAGCACAGATCTTAGTACCCGGCACACTGCAGTATTTTGTATTTTTGATGAATGACTACAACACTAATGGAGAGTTTGCCCAGTTCATTTATTCATTCACTGAACAAATCTTATAGAGCGCTTATGTTTATATTCAAGTAGGAAAAAACAACATCTATATAATAATCTTTTAAATTTCACAAGTACAGAAGTAGAAACACTGGTTTGTGTTTCAAAGAGAATATTTTAGAGGATTAATGTAGAACATTAATCCAGAGGAGAATATATTTGATAACAAGAGCCCGATAAGAAAGCTACTGACACTTTTGATAAAAAGAGTATGGATTTGAATAAGCAGAGATCATAGGGATAGAGAAGAAGATACAAATATGTGTGTGAACATATATGGTACTGCGTGATTGAATGGATGTGGCAGTTGGGAGTAAAAGAGAAAGAAAAAGAAATGAGGGGATTATAATGCATTAACTGAAGAAATGAGGGAATCAGAATGGGACCATGAGAAACATAAAATAATGAATTGTGTTTGGAAAATTTTGAATTTTAAGTCCCTGAGTCACATCTAGATAGAAAGATCACCACAGCTGTAAATATGAATCATATGTAAAAGAAGAATCAAGAGAAATAACAACTCACCAATCCAAGTGATTAATGATGTCTTAAGAGACTTTGAAATTGTCCAAGGAAAGCCTTTGGTAATGCATTTATTTTTCTAATAGAACCACCTACAATGGAAGATCTTGAACCACCTTTTAACACTCCATTTCAACAACGACTGGCCAATCAACGCATTGCATTTCCATGTCCTGCTAAAGGTATGTAATACTCAGGGTTATAGGCACTGATGTAATATTGTTCCAAAATTTTGTATTGGACCAAAATGCTATCTTTATAAAATTCCACATGTCAGTTCTTGTTATAACAGTTGAGCATAATAGAAACTGTCCCCTTTCAAACAACAGCTCTTTGAAGAGGTATTTTTCCCTTCTAGGTATTTTATTTCTTTCAATGGAGAAATCTTCCGTTCTTTCAAACTTGCCTAATCTAGTATGTTTTCTAGATAGTTCATGTCCTTCATGTTATTTTTTATTTCACTCTTTTTTGGCAAGATTTATTTTTAAAATGTGACAGCTAGAGTTATTCAAAATACTCTACGTTTATCTCAATTAGTCAGAGGTATAAATTAAAATTATCCCTTTGTTCTGGACATTCTTCCTAAATTTCTTTTTTAGGTATACTCTCAGCTAGTAATTCTGGGACCACGTGATAACTTGTTTCTTGGAAATTTCTGGTCTTTCTATCCCACCATGCTTCCTGGCAGGAGATTTCTGGTATTTCTCTTTGGGGGAATGTGAAAGAATACTGTAGCTGTCACCCGCCCTCTGAGTGCCAAGTGGGTGGCTCCTCTTACTCACATAAGCGTTCATTTGCGGTAACTCAGATGAGGTTGGTAGCGGCTGTAGCAAAGTTAATGTATTGTTCTTTCCATAACTCCTGGAGGGCTCTGGGCAGCTGGTACCATTACTACTCCCACATGTGCCTGCTCTTAACAGTTGTTCCTGGTGGCAGCCACTCTTGGAGTCTGCATTTCTTTGACAAGCTTTTGCATCTAATAGTAGCTGTCACCAATGATTACTCTAATGACTTTAAAAGAAAGATAATGTAAACTTTTCAGATTCTAAGAATTATCAATAACTCAGAGCCATTAAAAATGTGCAAGGAAAGTTCTGGAAAGGAAGCCTTCTTCAGGAGGGTGGACGTCCGGAAGATAGTTGTCCTGAGACCCTGCCCCAGAACTGTTGCTTCTTGTTCTCCATGGATCTTTCCTCCCTTTTCTGGTTTTTTTGTTTGTTTGTTTGTTGGTACCAGAAATTGAACCCGGGACCTTTTGCTTGTGAGGCAGGAGCCGGAACCACTGAGCTAAATCTCCAGCACTCCCTTTTCCATTTTGAAAAGCCATCTCTTCCTAGTTCTTTATTTTTGCCTGGAATATATTGCAAGTTCATTTAAACATGACTTTTAGCTATCTTTTGCTGTAAATTTCATTTTGATCATGGTTATTCTACTGTTATTAATTAAAGATAATGCTTCTTCCTTGTTTTGTTTATTTACTTTCTCATTTATTAACTCAACCAGTATTACTTTAGAAGTCTACTGAAGTCCTTAAAGGAATGAGTAGGATGAAAGAAATGATTATAACGTTTTTCCCCCTTGAGAACCTGGACAGATAACTGGAATCCATTTTACCATATTTTCTTCATCAGCCAACATTTTGCACAGATGATAATTTAAGAGGATAATCTTTTGCTTTATTTTTCCCCATAAATATGACAATTCTAGTCATTTTTATAAGACCTTAACTCAATTTGAATTTAGCCTCAATGACACATTCTAGGTATTCTGCCATGCTTTTGTACTTTCCTGGATTATATCTCCCATCTTTTACTATGTTTATTATTTGTTAGTGTAGGATTATTAATACTATCTTGTAGATTTCACTCCCAAACTTTCCCTAAATCTAGTCAATTTGAATAATAGGGTTTTTTAAACCCTCTCTTCATTGTGATTTTGCTAAGAAATTGTTTCGCTTATAATCATGTTTTGTTAAAAATGGCTTTAATCAAATTTTACACTAGAAACCATACTCAAGACTGATCAGGAATTAGAGGCATTAACTATAATAATCATTTCAAGTTTCCATACCAGATGAAATAACTCAAAAGTAGTGTTGAACTTTGCAAGGGTAAAAATTTTATTCCTAAAAAAGTTCATTTGTCCTTGAAGTATTGGATATTTAAAAATGATTGTAAACTTTGTTATAAAGAAAGCTTTAATTTCTCTTTTAGGTACTCCTAAACCAATCATCAAATGGTTACGCAATGGTGGAGAGTTAACAGGCAGAGAGCCTGGGATTTCCATCTTGGAGGATGGCACATTGTTGGTTATAGCTTCTGTCACACCATATGACAATGGGGAGTACATCTGTGTGGCAGTCAACGAGGCTGGGACCACAGAAAGAAAATACAACCTCAAAGTCCATGGTAAATTAGCATAAAATGCTAAAAACATAATTGAACATGTGGCAGTTTCCAATTCTTGTATATTTAAATGTAGTATTCTTCAAAACTAGCAGGAATAGAGGGCTATTAAACAGAAAACAGGTGATCTGGTTGCATTTATTTATTTGATTTAAAATTTTTAAATGTTTTATTGAGACCTAAAATCCTTTGAAATTCCAGTAGTAGGAGAAAATACATAGTAATAATCCCCTGAGTGAACTGAGCCATCCATTTATGCTGGCTAGAGGTAAAGAAAGTTATTAGTTTTGTATGAGACTGTGCACATACATGTGTTTGAATATGTGTGACCTCTCAAAGATATTATAGGCACATACAAGGAAGTATAAATATGTAATATTTTATCCTCTTTGTACTTCTAAAAAAGAACACAAGTAGTAGTACTTATACCCATTACTCTATACCCACTCTATTTTAGTGGACAATCTATCTTAAGAATTATTTGAGATCCCTATCCTTATCTGCAGCATCTCACAGTATGATTATACTATGATTTATTTAACCTTCCTCTACATATGATGAAAATTTAGGTTATGACCAATTGTTTGCTGTCTTAAATAACACTTAAATGAAACTCTTGTACAAACATCATTTCACATCAGTAAAGGGGTATTACAGTTTTAATACTTGATGAATATTGGCTCCTATGGACACTGGGAAATACTCATCTCCATCAGCAAAGTAGTGAGTCCTGTGTGACTTAAATTAGGACCCTTGCAGCTTGTCTTTTTAGCTGACTGTGAAAGGTTTTCCTTTCAATTTATATTGAATTCAAAATCCCAAAATAATAAAGTAAAAAATTTAGTAAGATTTCTCTTCAGAATTACGTCGTTCAGAATCTTCATTTTATAATTGAGCATATGCTTAAATCTGACTAGCTTTTCCAGGAATTGCATTATCTCAAAATTTGCTTTTTAAAGGACCTATCAAAGAAACTTTATAATATTCATTATAAGACTATCTTATCATGATTTATGTCTTTTTTAGTTCCTCCAGTAATTAAAGATCAAGAACACTTAATGAATGTGTCAGTGTTGGTAACCCAGCTCACCAGTCTCTTTTGTGAAGTGGAAGGTACTCCATCACCCATCATTCTGTGGTATAAAGACGATGTGCAGGTACACGAACACATCCAGATATGTATGTGATTCCTTCCCTCTGCACACAAAAAGAACTGCTCAGATGTGAATTTTTTCTTATTACTACTAATATAAACATTTTATTAGAATATTCAGTTATGCATATTTCATAGGATTGGAAATAACACTGACCTTTTTCACCTATACAGGTGACTGAAAGCAGCACTATTCAGATCCTGAACAATGGGAAAATTCTAAAGCTTTTCAAAGTCACGGCAGAGGATGCTGGAAGATATTCCTGCAAAGCAATTAATATTGCTGGCACTGCTCAGAAGCACTTTGGTATTGATGTTCTAGGTAAAGAAAACATTCTTTAAAAAAACTACAATTCAGATGCATTTCTGACACTGCATAGGGTTGACTATAGAAAAAGTAAATATATAAAATAAGATAGAAAATATTTGTTTCACTCTTTATTTGTCTTCAATATTGATTCATCAATAACTTTCAATTATATAGAAAGTTTCATTATTTATAATAGAGATGACTTTGAGTCATATGCCCCAAAGTATCATATACTCAAAATTGATACTATCTCATGTAAAGTAGAAAATTATTATGCTTGTCAATTTCTCCATTTAGCTGGGGAAGAAATACTCATGTGGCAAGGAGCTATATGGCTCTGTGGTGTAGAATGTAAGTTATTTGTGCTCTGAACATCTCTCAAAGCTGGTAAGACGTATTTGAACTAGGGAGGGGAACAATTCCACTTTCCTTGCATTCTAAAATTCATATAATTAAATCATCCCACAGTATAATTAAAGGAAGAAAAATTTCAGAACAGGCAGAGAATTTGGAGAGTGGGGACAGAATTTTAAGAGTGGATAGCTCTGTAATAAAAGGACATAAAACATTTCAATGGTGATCATGAATTTAATATTTGAGAATTTTAGTCAGTGAAATTATTTTTGACCTTGAAAGCTTACTTTGTTATAAAATGAATTTCTCTTGTCAATATTTTGCTTATCAAAATGGACATATAATTCATACATCTCTAGTGGAAGTGAAGCTTAGATATCCTAAATTAAAATTGGTATTCATAAACCTACGACAACATGAAATTATAGTCTCCTCTAAACCTAAAGTACTTTACATTCTTCTCCCCAGAATCATTGTTTTAGCTATAGAAACAAATTGTCTTTTTTTATTACTAGTCTCATTGGCACTATTTCTTTCAGTCAGTTTCCTCCCGTGATTTTAATTCCATTTGTGTGCTGGTGACTCTCAGTTTTTATCTCCAGCTCATGTTCCTTCTATGACCTCTAGTGACAGATATCTAATCTCCATCTATCTTGAATTGGATATCTTGGTGGTTTGCCACTGAATACCTTTGCAGTATATCAAACAGAAAGGTCCCAGTGAACATCTATCGTGGTTGTCTTCACCATTCCCATTAGAATGACCAGCACCTCCATCCGTCCACTCACTTCTTCTAGAACTTGAGACTCGTTCATTGTACTAGCCTCTCCCTAACTCCTGAAATCTACCTTTATCCTGTTATGTTAACTTGCTAAGTCTATGTTAAACTATCTGCTTCTTTCCATTCCACCGTGAAAGTGTACTGTCATTTCTAAGCTGAATTAATGTAATAAATAGCCCCCTAACTGCTTCCTTGTATCCACTCTGCCACTCTGTTCCACTCTTCACTCAGGGGCTAGTGTGGTCTTAAGCAAGTCTTATCACACCATACCCTTCCTTAGGGACACCCTTTCATGGCCAGTCATCTTCTGAAGATGAATATCCAACACCTTTAACCAGGTGTGTAGAGGAGGGTTAGAGTGATGGAAGTATTCTGGAGCTTATTAAAATGCATATAATTCTAAGAATAAAAACTAACGTATTATTTTTCATGGTATATCTCATACCAGTTTTAGCACAGAAGTACTTTATAAGAGACAAAGGTAGACATGATATATGATATGTAGTCTTTGAACACTATAAGATTGATGAAGATTATGTCATTTATTGTAAAAAAGATAACAATAATGCATTAGCTAATATGAGCTTCACTCTACACGTGTAGTCTAAGATCCTTGCACTTGAGCTTAAGATGCCTCAAAATGGATCATATAATATCATGATTCTTTTTTTATATCTTTATTGGTGCATTGTAGGTAAACAGTACATTTACATTTATCATTGGGTGCTTGTACCTGAACATGCTGTATCTTAGTTCTTACTTTTTCCCCCATTACCGGTGTGCCCTTCAAGTATAATGATTCTTGAAAATAATTGTCCTGCTAGCAAATATTTCATGGCTGCATTCTCATCTTTAAATTTAACATCTGAGTAAAGAGCATTATTTTCTGAAAAAGCATTATTTTCTACTAGATTAAGATCTTATTGGGGCCGGAGATGTAGCTCAGTGGCACAGCGCCTGCCTGGGAAGTGGAAGGCCCTGAGTTCAATTCCCAGCACAAAACAAAACAAAACAAATCAACATCTTACTGAAATACTCTAGAAATCGTTGACTCTATGCCTCTCCTCCCCTAGTTCTTTCAGCTAAGTTGTAGATTTTCATGATAAAATGTCTTTGTTCAAGTTCCACCCAGCATAATAGATGCGAGCTCCCCAAATGAAGTCTCTGCCATCATCAACCACAGCACCAGCCTCGAATGCCGAGTTAAAGGCACTCCCTTTCCCGCTATTCACTGGTTCAAAGATGGCAAGTGAGTATCTTTCTGTAGTTGTTGCAAGGGTCCAATAGATAGGAAACAGATGTTAATCTTCTTCCTTTTCAGAATGTTATCACAAAAATGTATTAAATGAGCAGGAGGGAAAAAATAATATTGCTCACAAACAGTCTTAAAGTTTTGTCATAGCTTTCATTCTTATGAATTTTGAAGGAATTTATTTTTGAAAAGAGTAACTCAAATTTATTATACACTAAATATGTTCTGTTCAGAGACTAACAGCGATAAATGCAAGATTCAAATGCAAAGATAACTTTGATTTTACATGGAATTGATTTATTACAAAGGAAAACATTTATAACACCAAGATGAATAGTTAAGCTAGTCCTCTATCTTGGTGAAAAAAAACCCAAAGAAGAGCAATCATATATTTCCCAGACGGTAAGCCTCAAGGGTTGCTGGTGTTTTCCCACACTGAAATGGCTTCAGTGATCTGTATTGGTTTGAGACTGTATTTCTCCTACTGTGGCCACAGTTTCTGTATTATTATTCTGTCTTAAAGTTGACATTGAAGGACTAACTAGCAAAGAGTCATGATTTGCAGTGTGTGGAGTAAAGGATTATATAAAAACATTCTATGGATCCATAAGAAAAGAAGCACAAAAGAAGTGAGGCATAAACAGGAAGTTAAAACATATAGGCAATAAATACATTAAATTTCTTATGCTCATTAAGGTGATAAATATAAATAAAATGTAATTTTTTTTCATAGATCATATTGACAAAAAGTAAAAAGTAGACAATATTAGGTCAGGGATTTAGCTCAGTGGTTCCAGCACCTGCTTTCCAACCACAAGGTACCGAGTTCTATACCTGGTACCAAAAAAAAAAAAAAAGAGGAGGAGTAGGAAGAGGAAGAAGAAGAAGAAGAGGAAGAAGGTGGCGATATCAAGTCTTGGCTACAGCGTAGGAAAGCAGGATTTTGAATGAATGTAAATCAGTGCCCTGAAAGGCAATTTGTTGGAATCTATTAATCTGTGATGCATTCACACCTCCAGTGTCCAGGAGAGGGAAGCAGTCATGCATGTCCACAGGGAGGCTCTTTCAGTGCAACTGTGATGGCAGAAAAATGAAACTGGCTAAAGCCTGACCTTGGAGGACTAGGTCGATAACTCATGGCACAGTCATGTCGTGAAATACCATATAGTAATTTAAGAGTATATATATATATATATATATATACACACACACACACACACACACACACACATACCAAAGCTATATATACCAAAAATGTCTCCATAGCTATTATTATAGAGTGAAAAGAAAAGCAGAACAATAGCATGATACCAATAGCAAGATAAAGTGTTAAAACTGTAGGCTGGTTTGGGACTACATTAATGAGTGAAAAGGTTTAGAAAACATGTGGAAGAATAAAAACCAAACTGTTAACGATGAGAAGTTAGAAAGAAAACTCACATTAGGGGTAAAAGACCGAAAAGACCTTCTCTCAATTCAATACATTTGTTTGTTTAAATTTTTATGGTAGTTACATGATTAATAATCAATAAAAGTTTCAACATTTCATAAAATTAGGTATTCTCTTCCCTTAAAAATGTAAAAAGTGGGCTGGGGATTTAGCTCAGTGGTTCCGGCGCCTGCCTCACAAGCACAAGGTCCCGAGTTCGATCCCCGGTACCAAAAAAAAAAAATGTAAAAAGTATTAAATTAGGATACTTCATTCTCTTAACTTTTGAGAGCTTTATGCAAACTCTCATACCAAGAAATAGTGAAGGATGAAACCTTAGGAAATTAAATATCTCTTCTATTTTAATTATGTAGACCAAATAGTGGTTTATTAATAGAGCAATGCATTTAAATATTTATGTGGCTAAATCATACAACTTTTTAAAAACTAGCTATGGGTTTTCCTGAAACAAGATGAATAGCTTTTAAAGGTATGTTTCTTATAATAGCATAGATTTCAATAACCATATGTTTCAAATGTTGAAGTAAAGGTCTTGCCAGTTACATGAAAGTAAACACTTTGTAGTAGAAAATGACTGTATAGTAGAAAATATGTCCTTGACAACTATTTATGAGCTTTTGGGGTGGCATAAATCCTTCAATATTTGTAATACTAGAAGCATTCATATTTATTATGATACCTACTTTTTAGAGAAGTTGGCAGAATCACTGCCTGTAGTACATAATAGCCAGTCATCTTATTATGAATATTTTTCCAGATACAAAATGATATTAGCTTAAAAATAATACTACTTGGTTAGGATTTCCTATACTGTAATATTAAACTCTTTTCTAGACAATTGTACAAATTTTTCCTGTGCAAACCAAAATTTTTTTAAATATTAAAAAGAATAAAAATGGATGAATAAAAGAAAGAAATGATAACTATTAAATTCCTGTTAATATTATTAAACAATTTAAGATTGGAGAAAAATTTCATCCCACAGTGATAATTAACTTCTATTAGTAAAGTGCTTTAATAATTTCATTTTTCTGAATAGAAATACTAATCACATCATCGTAATCTTTATTAACTTTGATTCATATTTTTAACCCTATACTATTTACTTAACAATTTTGTTGTGATTAATAAGAGAGAAAACATGAGGAAATAAAAATGGACCCACAGAATAAGATCAGTTTTTTTTCTAGGCCTTTATTTTTGGGAGATCCTAATATTGAACTTTCAGACAGAAGACAAATTTTATACCTGAAGAATGCACGAAGAAGTGACAAGGGGCGATACCAGTGTGCTGTGTCTAATGCAGCTGGTAAACAAACCAAGGATATAAAACTGACTATCTATAGTGAGTATGATTTTCTCATCTTTCTTTTATTATCAGTTCATGATAAATTGAAAATCAGTAGTGTTCAATGCTGTTTTCTTCCATACTGAATACTGGGAATGCTACTTGGGTCAAGTTTTTTAGGCTACACCGTTATATCCAATTTTAATTTTATAAGTCTGGATTTAGTCAAGTAGTTTAATGATTTTTACATGAGCCACTTAAGATAATTTCCTAATTGATTAATAACATAAATAAATTAAATGCCTGTATCTTTGAAGAGATAGGAAAAGACTTAAAAAACCTATGGAGATATACCAAGTACAATGAAGTTGATGGTGTATAAACAATTTAATTGTTTTATTTTCATTCCATCTTGCCCTTTATCCAGATCACATGGTAATATTTTAAATGCCATATGACTGATCTCATCCTGTTTTCTCCCAGGATGTCCCCAAGATAAAAAATGTAGCCCTTTTATTCACTAACATTTTTGAGGGAAGTGACTGTTAGTCTTTTTACATTTTACCAATAGAGCCATAAGGAGCCACATGAACGTTATGTTGCAGGGACATCAAAGATTTACACACTAGAAGGAATAGAACCAGAGTTCTTGGTCTACACGACTTGTCAGTTCCACTCATTGTGCTGTCCTCTCCCTTTCCATAGTGTATGATGCCCAAGGGCAGTTTTGGTACTTTAGAATATCTCCTTGTAGATCTTTCCAATCCAAACCACCACCTAGGCATTATAACATTGTACTACTTCATTTTCTTCATAGTAATTCTTCATAATTATCTATACTTGCTTAATTACGAGTTGTTTTGCTTATTAGCTGTTTCTCTTCAAAGAATCTAAACTTCATAAGAACAAGCTTTTATTTTGCATGTTGCTTTCTTTAATATCTGTTATACAGCAGCTCTCAAGAAATATTTGCTTAAATGAATGAATGATCTAAACTACATTGTCTATTATGGTAGCCACTAGCTACATGTTGTTGTTGAGTCCAAATTTAAATGTGCTGTAAGTATAAAACTCACACCAGATATCAAAGATTTAATGTGAAAATTATATATATATATATATATATATAATGATTATATAATGATAATTTACATTGATTACATGCTGAAATTGTATTTTGGATATATTAAAGTAAGAAAAATATACACTGTGTTATGAAAATTAATTTTGTTGGTTTCTTTTTATACTTCTTATGTGCCTAGTAGAAATATTAAATTACAGATGTGGTTTGCATTGTGCTTCTATTGGACAACTCTGGTTGAATAGTTAATAAGAACTTGGCCTCTGAGACAGACAAGCTTGTGTTCAGATACAACCTCTGCCATTGACAAAGTTATAGCTTTGTGACTTTGGCTAACTTGCCTAACCCCTCTGAACTTCAATTTTCTCAACTGTAAAATGGGAATAATGATAGTGCCTATAATTAGTGTTATTGTAAGAATAAAGCTCTAAATACTTTACTCATGGATTATTTGGCCTACAGTAAGCTCTCAATATGTATTACTCATTTATACTTAACATACTGCATTGTCCTAAAACTTTATATCTATCTATTTAGATAGATATATGTATTTTTAGCTTGATTTCTATATAAATTAACTGCATTCCAGATCTCTGTTTGTAAATGTGTCTTTAAGCTTTGAATAACTCTTTTGAATCAAAGAAATTATATTTAGTGTAGGTTTCAAAATCATTTCTTTCTCCAAATAGAAGTCTCTGGAAGAAATCAATCATGAAAAGACATGTCCTCTAAAAATGGGTAACATAATTGAAAGATTAGTTGTACAAATATCCAAGTTAAGCAAAAGTGTCATTGCTACCATTGGCCTCCTACCAGAGCCAGACATTTAAGCAATAGGTACAACATTTTCCCTAAGCTGTTGAGTAGTCTTCTCTACAATGTTGTACTATTATTGCCAAGGACTGTGAAGAATACATTTTGGTGATTCAATAAGAGGCTTATTTCCATGGAACTTGGGTTCTTTCTTTTTAGATCTCGTTTTCTCTGTATGATGCCCTCAGGCATCCAGAAGAGAGGGCTTCTGAGATGATCTGAGATGAAAGGCATTGTATTACTGCGAAGTTTTGGGTATTATAATTCAGAAAATAATGCCGATTCCTCTCTAGCAAGCTCTTAAGTACCTCCAAGTAAATAATCTTAAGCTTACTTTATTTCCTTTGTGAAAATGTTTCATTCCTAAAATGGGAAAAAATAAAACAGATGCCATGCTTTGGATAACTGTGAGGAATATGTATATAGAATACAGATTGAAAGTATATTTCACACTAAAATTGAGGTTTATTTTTGTAATTTGTGTGCTGACATGAAATGAAGCAGGTGGGTCAATGCACTTGCAAGGCAGACATGAACAGTTTTCTGAATGAAGAAAGAAATAGAGAAAGCATACGAGGGAGGGAAAAATAAGAGATGAAGAAGGAAGAGTATAAGGAGGGGAAAGAATATAAAATGGAGAACTTAAAAGAGCTTTTAATGTTCTATGGTGAGATTGTGCAAATTAACAACTTGTAGTTGGAGGCCATTGTCCTTAACTTGAGGTCCATAGGTAGGTTTTGACATCTGAAAGCGTCCCTGAATTGTATGAAAGTCTTGCAGTGTGTATACATTGGTGCATTTTAATGTCCAGTGTCTCAATAACCTATATCAGCAAAACTCTCTCCCAAACAGAAGTACAGCTCTCTCCCATATATTCATGAATTAAAATGAAAGACAAATATCTATTTGTCACATTTCAGCAGTTTATGGTATGTTGTTCTGGTATCCATTTCAAATATTCTCTGAGTAATTTTTCTGAATTTCATACATGTAAACTATTAAAATATTTTCAGTACAAATGATACTCCTTTGGAAAACATTCACAGAGGATAGAGATTTGGTTGCCCTATATTCTTGACCTTATTAATGTCTTATCTAATCTAATTAGGCTACCCAGCTGATTTAGGCAGTTTGAGTAAAATATTTGATATATATATATATACAGATTAACACAATGCAAACAGTCTTAAATTAAGATTAAAACTGCCTGAGTAAAATACACATTCTTAATATTTCAAAATAATGGCTTGTATTTGTATTAATTAAGTGTACTTGGCAAATCTTGTATTTAAGGCAAGATAATTTTAGGGTTTGTAAACCATGAGGCACAATCAAGAATGCTATACAGCTATTTATATAATGATATTTATTGACAAAATCATCTTTTGATGAAATTCCTTTTCTATTTTTTTAAATTATAATTTTTGTTAATGGTTTACTAATGGGAAGGATGGAATTACGGGGCGGGGTTCACTTAGTTCAAAGTTAGTATTCCCTATTTTCAAAATCCATTGGAAATGTTGATTAATGTTGGTTGTAATGAGATTTTATCTATTTCCTCTTTGAAAATGTCACTTCATCCAGATCAGTACCGCTTAGTACTTATGTCAGTTCACAAGCGTGTAATTTTAATTGAATATTTTCACTGCTTTGTAAGCTGGACATGGTGGTGTACGCCTGTAATCTCAGCACTCGGAAGACTGAGAAAGGAGGATCACTGTGAGTTCGAGGAATAGTAGTGAGATGCTATCTCAAAAAAAATTAAAAAGGAATATACTTATAGAATTGTTATTCTTATCTTGGTTTTCATCATGACTTTACACAGCCCATTGATGGTTGATGGAAGGCCTTCAATTTGAAAGATTAATAAATGTTGAATGTGAAAACTGTTTGGATCTATATCAAATTGTAATTTGAGCTTAGAAAATACGACTCAGTGAACTTGTGGAAGTATCAAGATATCATTTCTCATTTGAACTTTTGGCAGCAGGGGGAATGTATAAAGGAGCTTGGTGTTCCTTCTGATGAAAACAACTGGTTATCATAGTATGAACAGCATGTGAGTACTGCATTTGCTAATTCTAGGTTAGATTCATTTAGAAATATCAAGTTTATAGAAAAATTAATTTCCAAAACCATTTAATATTCAGTAGTAGTGTTTAAAATGATTTTACATATTCAGAGAGAATTCAGTCTCAGTCCTGAGCTCAAAAAATTCCAATAAAACTTGACTGAGTAAGTCAGGATATTCAATTCTACTTCTGACTAAAAGTCACAGGACTGATGGTATTTAACTTGATAAGAACAAACAAAATCCTCCATTGTCATTACTGGTTCATAAATATGTGACAGTTTCCTACAAAGTGCTTGGTGATGAGTATTTCAGTGAGTGAACACAGACTTTTACTACTTTACTTTTTTTTTGGTACTGGGGATCAAACTCGGGACCTTGCACCTGCGAGGCAGGCGGCGGAACCACTGAGCTAAGTCCCTGGCCCACTACTTTACATTTTAATGTTTTATAAACTTCCCAAGGCCTTTTATTACTCCACACATATTTTTGCCATCATAAGTTATAACAAATCTTAGCAGATTCCACTTCAAGTTGTGTAATGAATTAGAGTTTTTTCTACTTCTCTGAAAATATTTTTGTCTAAAGATGTTCCATGAAGACTGCTCTTTGATACTAATTCTCTGTTTTCTTCAAACTTGGCATTGACTCCTCAAATAAAAAGGAACACCTTAGCAGTATCAGTAACATCTGTTAACTTGTCAAAGGCAAAAATACTCTTCAAAACCTTCCTCTTTTTTAAAAAGTTTACTATTTAAAAACTTAAAAAAAATAAAAATTTCACTATTAGTATTGTTCCCACTACCCTCACCTCTTCTGTTTTTCTCACAGAATGGGTGATAGTCTTTAACAAGTTGATTCTCTCTGGATACACATGGTCATATGTGGTTTAATTAAATCAGGATTGGTAAATGGCTTTCTTTACTTGGCTGACAAAATAAGCTACTCAGAAATGTACTTTGTTAGTATCTTCATTTTTGCATTTTATTTTTATGAAAAAATTCTATTTGTGATGCGACATTTTATTCTGAATTTTTTGGTTTTTCAAGTTTTTGCTTTTCTTTAAATTGAGAATACTGTGATGACTGTTTATACTAATAGTGCTTATTCTTTTAGGACAGTTGTATTACAAAAGAAATACAAAACTCTGACATTTAATCTGATAATAATATATAGTTCACAGTATTCTGTGCCTTAATACATTAGAAATCCATTATTCTCTTTTCTTCTTGTTTTGTCATTAGTATGCATTGTAAAAATAATAAAGTAAAAATATCACAGTACTGTGATATGCGTGATACTTGAAATGCTGTCAAGTTACAACTGGGTTGCTGAAATTTATGATAAACTGAGCAGCAGTAGAAGCAAGGAGAACACTGCATGAGATTTTGTTAGAATTATTTAACTCTAGCCATTGTTGTGCAAAAATAGTCATGGATAAATGAATGAATGTGACTGTATTCCAATAATGTGTTATCTAAGACAGTGAAGTTTGAAAATCATATAATTTTTACATCTCTCAAAATATTTTCCCAAACATTAAAAATGTAAAAATAGCCTTACTTGAGCATTTCCTGACCTGTGTTTCACTGGTAGCCAGTCCCTAAACTTTAGAGTAAAATAAACTACAGTACAGGAAGTCATTACACTATTGAATTCACCTCAAAATATAGTAGGTCATGACTTACATTATATATAAAATTAAAAAGGTGTGTATGAATGTTCATCACAGCGAACGAGTTCTAAGAATGACTACCAGAAAACATCAAGGTAATCCACTCTATGCCAAAATCTTGTTTCCTAATATCCTCTACTGAAAGGAACCAGAGTTTCTTGAGAAATGTTTAATCCTATGGCTGGGACAGGAAACATACAAGATGATCGTATAACATATAGCCATGACAGAAATTAATACTGAAACATAAAATGATATGGTTACATCAAAGGAGCACAGGAGCCGACAGAGATTCTACTGATAAAACCGGATAAATGTAGTATGGATTATAAGCTCAAACAGAAAATAATTTTCTATGGGTCCATATTGATATAAATAAATGAACTGGGGCTAAGAGACACATGTCCCACCTAGAATTCTAAATAAATTCTGTAGATACGCTCCTCTCAAGAAAGAACATAACTCCCCATCTAATATTTATGGATGGAAATAGTGAGTCCTTTCAAAAGAAAGGGAAGGAAAAGGAGTAACTTTGTAACTAGACATGTGACAAACACCATCTTAGTTAGCCAGGTCATCAGGATTAACATGATCAGTCACATGCAGAGTGTGTACCACTGGTAAGTTGTGATGTGAACAGCACTGCACCTCTTCAGTCTCCCTCTCAATACCCCCAGAGCCCTGGTCGACCCATAAGAAAAACATTATACAAAATATTCTATTCTAAAATTTAAAAGTTTATTGAAATTGTGTTCAGAAAATGAAATTCAAATATATGCATTTTTTTTGGTACCAGGGATCCAACTCAGGACCTTGTGCTTGCCAGGCAGGCACTGTGCCGCTGAGCTAAATCCCTGGCCTTATGCAATTTGATTTCTTTAAAATTGCTGCAGTGTTGAAACAATCCTAAATGACTGTGCTTAGAACATGTAGCAGAGATTGAGCAACTTGAGATGTTTTCCCAAAACTACAGTCCTCGTGTGCTGGGAGAGGCCAGGAATGATGTTGCTGAATTATAGAAGGTACACATGTAGCCAATTAGATGAGTGGAATGAATGGACTTTCAGTTAAAAAAAAATAACAGAAAGAAAAAATTAAAGACTGGTTCTGAGATCCCTTAGATCTCGACGTTTCATTTCATGAGGATAGAACATGCAACTGTACCACCGCTGCCTTGGCTTGATTTCAAACTGAAGTGTCAATGAGATTTTATTTTGTTTTGCTTTGTGAAATGTAACTTTCTTAGTTATTGTAATAGGATCTATTGGACTTAAATGAGCTTCTGAAATGGAATCTGTGATTTACAGTTTTTACTGAAATTTGAAACCCAAAAAGGAGGTATCGATTGTTTTGACAAGACAGGCAACTAATTGACAGCAGTCAAAAACTTCCTGTCTTTAATTTGTATTTAAACCCATTATATAAACATCTGTAGCATTTAAGATTGTGATGCAGATACTAAACTTAGAACTGATTTTGCTCTGGACTCTTTTGTAGTTCCACCTAGTATTAAAGGAGGCAATGCTACCACGGAAGTATCAGTGCTGATCAACAGCTTAATTAAATTGGAATGTGAAGCCCGGGGACTTCCAGTGCCTGCTATTACTTGGTATAAGGATGGCCAGCTAGTCCTATCCAGCTCACAAGCACCTTATATTGATAAAGGACAATTTCTTCATATTCCTAGAGCACAAGTCTCTGATTCAGCAACCTACATGTGTCATGTAACAAATGTTGCTGGAACTATTGAAAAATCATTCCATGTTGACGTCTATGGTGAGGAAAACTATTTGCTTTAATTGTATACCTTGTTCACTAATAAAGCTTTGTAGGTTTGTCTTTTGTCGGTATGCATGGATAGAGTGGGAAAAATTTGTTATGATTTTTACAATAGGTACAAAAGCTAAGATTAGCAAGATATGGTTCATTATTTGACCAATATTTGCCCATGGGAATCAGTGCATCCAAACCATTTGTTTCTTATGGAGAAGGCTAAGGAGTTGTTAGGATGAAGATTATTCTCTTCTATTTGACCTAAAATATAAAATATCCCAGAATATTTAGTGTATTTACTGAACCAAAAAATTATTTCCCCTACAACTTATAGGAGGAAGGTAATGTAGGTAGCTTCTGTGGTCAAACTAGGTCCGAAAAAATAATCTCTCCTTGATTTCATTAGGATGTATTTCATGACCTTACAAAATATTGCCTGAAACACTGCTATTTTTCTACCTAGTTCCTCCAGTGATTGAAGGTGAGTCGGCAACACCTTTGAAGAAGCAAGTTGTTGTTGCTCACTTTCTGACTCTGGAGTGTAAAGCTGCTGGAAGCCCCCCTCCAGCTCTTACCTGGTTGAAAGATGGTACACCCGTGAAAACCAGTGACCGCGTCCGCATAGAAGCTGGTGGGAAGAAGCTAGAAATCATGAGGGCCCTGGAAGTTGATTGGGGACAGTATGTATGTGTGGCAACAAGTGTGGCAGGAGAGAAGGAAATCAAATATGAAGTTGATGTCCTAGGTAAATAAGGGTGCCATCATCAGGAGTCAAAGATGTACAGCAAAACCTGATTAATTTATTAAATACTTTTTGTTCATACAATAATAAAACAGTCTAAGATAAGGTGCAGTTGTTTCTGCAAGTCTGGATTGTACATTACCAAGAGGTAGATTTATCACCAGAATTCCATGATCAAGAATCCCACGTTAATTTTCCACTGATTTTAATAAATATACTTTTTTGGTACCGGGGATCGAACTTGGGACCTTGTGCTTGTGAGGCAGGGGGCAGAACCACTGAGCTAAATCCCTGGCCCATAAGTACACTTTCTGGTTAGGTCATTTTTTTTTTGGATAGGTCATTTTTACATTTACAACAATATCTGATTGCAGTGAGCCACAAAGAGGTCCTTTGTCGTGTGTACTATGTTAGACAACAGGAAACTGCCTGCACCCTGGGAAGTCATCTTGCAACTTTGGGTGTCTATAACTTTATTTACAGATTGAAGGTTTTTGAATAGATGGCCCAGCTTTGGAGGATTCCCTTCTCTTGTTTTAATGAAAATCAACAATCTAAAATATGAATCAATTTATATTTGCAAGGCATAAGTAGCACCACCTTGCCATTTAGAGAAGAATCCAAACTATGTCATAAGTACATTCAGTGATCCTATTTGTTGTAAAATTTATTGATAGTGCATTGTAAATTCCTTTCATGTACTGAATTACTGTGATAATTATTAACTTTCTAAACTACTGCTTAGTATTGCTTGATCTGATGGTAGTTTTTTCTTGTTTATGTAGCTTTGTATGTTTTATCCTTTTTGTCTTCTAGTGCCACCCTTTGTAGAAGGAGGAGATGAAACATCTTATTTCATTGTGATGATTAATAACTTATTGGAGCTAGATTGTCAAGTGACAGGCTCTCCCCCACCAGCTATCATGTAAGGGTTTTGGTATGTCTTCTAAATGCCTCCCACTTTTTGATGTGAATGTTTTAGAGCTTTATAAAAGACTTTCTATATCACTAAAAAAATGGAAGTATAAAATTATATCTTTTATATTCCTCTTTTAAAAGATAGTTCTACTTAAAAGGCAACTTTTACTTGATTCAGAAAACACCTGAATTTGCTCAACTGAAGAAATTCTTTTGTATGATCTTAGAAATTACATGACCAGTTGGGAAAGACTATAAAGGAGGATTATAGTCAGAACTTCCCGAGTCACTCAAGTGTTTAACAAGTTGATAAATAAAAAGATTACCAGAAAAATTAAAGACATAGAGGATGTTAAGATGTGTTTGCCAATTTTTTTCTCATTCCTTCATTCACAGAGCATTTATTACATAGTTATCTTACACTTCCACTGTGTGATGGGATGTACAGAGGAGCAGTTAAATAACTAAAGGAATGAGATATGTTGACAAATAACCATAAAACTAAATGAAAATAACTCAAAATGTAAAAATTTATAGATATATGATTTCATTATTTTATTTATAAATGTTTTAAGATCATGTGCATTTTACTGATTTCTAGGATTTTACTGATTAATGTTATTCAAATTAGTAGTATTAGGGGCATTTGCTTCTTTCTGTAACCTAAATTTAGTGGAAGAGTGAAGAACTCAAAATGGTATTAGGTTGAATTGTTGAATAAGCCAACTTCTGTGTTAGGCCACTCCTTTTTTTTCTCTTCTCATTTACAATTTATTTTAGAGTGAATAAAATACATGTAAATGTATGTATATGTATATATATCTTCCAGGAAACATCATTAGGCAACTCTATATATGCATGTATATATATATATATATATATATATCAGACTTCTTTTTCTTTTTTTATAGGTGGCTGAAGGATGGTCAGCTAATTGACGAAAGAGACAGATTCAAGGTTTTACTAAATGGACGGAAACTGGTTATTGCTCAGGCTCAAATGTCAGACACAGGCCTTTATCAATGTGTGGCAACAAATGCTGCTGGAGACCACAGGAAGGAATTTGAAGTGACTGTTCACGGTATGCCAAGGAAGGGACAGGAACATTACATTTTAAATTAACTTATGCATTCTTTCATTATCTAATTCAGATTGTAGCTCAGTAATCTGGATATGTCTTGAGTTGTGGGAAATAATGAAAAAAATAAAAATTTGAGTTAATGGCAGATTTTAAATCATTTTGCTGACACAGAGACTCAACTAAGAGATATAATGTAAATATATCTAGACAGAATTTAAATGCTGGGAAATAGAACATGGAGTGGCAGTTCTGAAGGTGGGACTAAAGCAGATGGAAGAAGTAGCCAGCAACTTGCGAAGTAAAGGGTTGTGTCAGCATTTAAGGATTTAGCCCAAAGAAGAGTGGTTATGAATTGAATGGTTTCCAGAAGTGGAAGCTGAGGGTGTAATTGCAGGATGCAGGGCATATAAGTGCATTCGCAGCACTGGAACATTAGGGTTGTAACTGTTGATCTAATGACAGAAGGAACTCTCTGCCAGCGTCTCATGTGTCTAATTTGTCAGCAAAACTTAAGAAGAGAAGAACTGCAACAAGAAGCCGGAGAGCCATTTGGACACCACTAGGAGAGTGGTCTATGAATTTCAACTGCATTCTTCCTCTGTCTCTGCAGACTTGTTTTCTAGCCTTTTTAGCCCTATGCCCCATGATGAAATATGAATAATTCTGCTTTTCAGTCTCAATCACAATTCCTCAGGGAGTGTAAAAGTCCTGTTTATGTCAAGTTACCAGCCCAGGTTCAAAAAGCTGTGCTGAGGCAGAGTCAGTGGTAGAAATACTACTGGATTCTCTCTCTCATTTAATGAGTTCTAGAGAAAGGCAGGGGCATTAGTGATTGGGAAAACACACTAAAACGTGGAAGCCAAATATACATGTTGAATTTCAGTAACCATAAATACATTTTGCTTATTCTTTGGAAAATTAGAGATCCATAGTTAGGAGACTATTAATGTATTAAAATGCTAAGAATTATAAGTTAAATGTCTGTGATGAAATTACTTTATTGTTTGTTGAAGCAAGGATTCCTTTTATTTTTTTTAAACTTTAAAGTTTCTGATTCTTTCATACTTTAAGGGTTTGACCCGACTGGTTATGGTTTCTCTCCTGTCCCTCCCTTTTTTCTAGTTCCTCCAACAATCAAGGCATTGGGCCTTTCTGAGAGAGCTGTGGTGAAATACACGTCTGTCACCTTACAGTGTATAGCCAATGGCATTCCAAATCCATCCATTACATGGTTGAAAGATGACCAACCTGTGAACACTGCACAAGGGAACCTCAAAGTAAGTATAGATTTTACTGAGCCCAAATTGAGAAAGCTATATAGATCTCCTTGAAATTATCACATTATTCTATCTTAATTGTAGATTTTCCTGTTGAATATATTTTGTAGAAAAGTTATTAAAACATTATATGGTATGGAGGATATATCTCATTGGTATAGTACTTATCTACCATATGTGAGGCCCTGGATTTTCATTGCACTGCAAACAGAACAAAACAAAAACCAACAATATGTATTTTCCTTAGAGGTTTTTAAAATGAAATTTAATAAAGATTAAATAACCTGAACAATGATACAGACATTAACATAGTAGTTGGTATTTTTAGTATTTTGATTTATGCCTATTTTAGCTTTCCAAACACTGGTATCTCATGGAAAAATAATGTTCAGTAATAAGCCGATATATCCCAAAATGTTCACCAGACTAAGATGAAGGTGAAGCCATAGCTATATAAAACTAAGTGAAATAAGTATAGAAAAGCACTTTTAAAAACTAGTTTGTGAGCTTCGAGAGCAAAAAACCTCAATTAGTTTCTGTGAATAAGTTCACTTCTGTGTCCTCCATACTGAGGACAGTCCTTTGCACATGACTGTGTTTCAGTAAAAATTTCTTGAGATAATAGATAGGTAGACAGATAATAAATTTCAGCCCTGATTCTCTAAATGATACATTTAAAATTAGGATAATTGACTTTGGTAGGAAGATCAAGTTAATTGATTATTATGGGCTTAAATTTTACTTATAGTAAGTCCTCAGTATGAGCAATATCTTGAGTTCCTTTCCCAGATGAAGCAATGGACATCTGCTCATTTCCAGTGCTCATCTATCTCAAATCCAGTGGAACTAATCTCAAACTTTTATGCTGGTGAGAGATTCAGTATATAGCCTTCACATAGTGCAGATAAACACTTATTTATCTGTAGACAGACATTTATGCAGCCATACAAACAGAATTATAAGCTGTAAAGAGCAAAGTTTTAAGAGATAATATAGAGGCATAAGAAAATATGAGAAAATCTTTTGGATACGGGGAAAACTTAGGGGGAAAGCCTTTGAGCAGAGTGCTGAAGAACATATGGACGTTAAATGGGTAAACTAATGGAAAAGAACTGAGAACAGTATTCCAAAAAGATGTGCATGGGCAAAGAACTTAAACTAAAGGAAAGAATGACACCTCTTGAGAACCTAAAAGTAAGACAGTAGGGTGAGGAAGAGAGAAAAGAAAAAGTGGTACTGGAGAAGACTAGAGAGTGGTAGGAAGCACTTACCTAATGCTAATAATTTTGTTTTCAAGCGACGCAAAGATTTTGAGGAGTTAAGAGGAGCGACATGATCACTCATAACTACATGATTTATGTAGTTCTGTGTCACTTTTTTTTGTTTTGTTTTTGTTTCTAAGTTTATTTTATTGGTACATTTTAGGTATACAATATAATGACTTTCATCATTGGAAATTTGCACCTTTACATACTCTCTTGGTTCTTATTTTTCCCCCTTCCCCTGCCCTCCCTTCAACCCCTCCATCACTCCCTATTTACAAAGACTTTGTTTCTATTTTTCCATTTTCTCATATTAATTCCATTCCCTTCTTTCCTTTTCCCTACCCCTCCCACTTCCCCTTCCCCTTTGCCCCTTTTCTTCCTATTTCACATTATCTTTTATACCTTTTAGCAGCCCAAATTCCTATCAACTGGAGACTGGATAAAGAAAATGTGTTTTTTTTTATAAAATGGAGTACTGCTCAGCCATAAAAAATGAGAAATTAGAGACATTTATAGCTAAATGGATGCACATTGAAACGATACTCTTAAGTGAAATAAATAGGACACACATGTATGTGTCACTTAATGATGAAGATGCATTCTGAGAAACTCATCATTAGGGGAATCTGACCATTGTACAGCATCATTTACACAAATCTGGATGATACAGCCTACTTCACACCTTGGCTGTATCATATTTACCATCGTATATGCAGTCCATCATTGACCAAAACATTGTTATGTGGTGCATGACTATATTCATCTGGAAATTTTCCAGGGAATAAACTGGAGGACCCAAGAGTAGATATGTAAAACCAACTAGGACCTATTTGCATTTGTCTAGGAGAGAGAGAGAGAGAGAAATTTGAATTCACATGCTGGCCATGGAAATGAGGATACTTGGATAGATTTTAGAGTTAGTCAAATTATTGGAGTATGTGAAAGATTGCTTATGAAAGATGAGGGAGAAGGATGTATCAAGGAAGACTCCTAGGAGTCTAACCTACATAACTGCATGAATAGTATTGCCGTCCAGTAAGGTGGAATACTTTGGAGGAAGGCAATTTGAAGGTGGGAAAAATTATGATTTGTGCTTCAGACTTTGGAGTTGAGGTGACTTTGAAATAAACCAGTGAAGATATCAGTGGATCATTGAATATGTGGTTGTGGAGCTCAACCAGATTTCTGGTCGGAGGTACAGCACATTGATGATATTTGAAAACATGAGGATAGATGAGTTAATCCAAAGTAGGGAATATAGTAAGTGAAAAAGGAAAAAAGATCATCTTAGTTCAGAGTCTTAAGAAATCATGACATTTAAAGACCATTCGTAATATTCCAGAGGTGGATACAAATGTATGAATGCATTGCTTGACATGTTTAGTACGGTATGGCTGGAAAATAGGTTAAGTGGGAGTTTACACAGTGTTTTGGAGAGATCATTTGGGGTCAGAGTGTAGCAAGCTATGCTGAGTTTGGATTTCTTTTTGGGCAAAGCGGGGAGCCATGAATGAGGTTTGAAGGGCGACTGGTAAAAAGATCAAATTTCCATTAAAAAATTATTCTGGCAATAGTGTGTAAGATAGACTAACAATTGGGGAGGTTGGAGACACTGGAACATGAGTTAGGAAGCCACTATAATCCCACAGTGGCTCTGGAAATGGAAAACAGGGAATCTGAAAAACATTCAATGGTATAATTAATAGGAGTCAAAGTGGGCTCCAAAATCTAGATGACTGGAAAAATAGTGATTGCTATTAAGCAAGACTGGAAAACTGCATTGAGAAGTAGGTTTTAAGAGATACAAGGAAGAAAAATTATGAGCTTAATTCTGGATAGGTTAAATTTCATGTATTAACCTGTCCAGCAGATAGCTGGAACTGCACATGTAGAGCTCAAGAGAGATGTATAGGCTACCACTGTAGATTTAAGAATCTGGATAGGGTTTTTCACTAATGCCATGAATTTTCCTGAAAACTATCAGAGAGCTAAGTTTCTTTCGATGGAACAGAAAGAGGAGGCTGATTCTCTAAAGTAATCTCCTATGAGAGTCAGAATAAGAACTGACAAAATGCTTTGCCTTTAACATTTACAGAACATAGACTTTCAATGAGTAGATAGTGAACCATATGGAATGCTGTAGCTAGACAGTAGGAAAGAGTGTGCAGTTACTACACAGGCTACTCAATATTGTAATTGGAAATTAATAATGACCTCAGAACAGTTTCAAAGAATAACCTCCGAATCATCGGCTTCAAAATGGTGGAAGTCAGTTGCAATGGATTTAAAAGAAAAATAAGGAAAAACAGTCAGGAAGATTTATCTGCATTTTCATTATTCATATTTTATAAACTTTATTGTTTTTCTGGACCCCATGACCATTTAATCAAAAAAGATTGTTGTTTTAAACTATTTATGAAGTGTTATATAAATGTGGCTGTGTTTTTTCAAATAGCTTAAATTTTCATCACATTCTTCATAGTTCAGTGTGAAAGTGCTTTAGTCAGTGGAGTTTTATGACTATACCAGCAGGCTAGCCCTTAGGTTATTTTATTTTGTATTTTCCAATGAATAAGAATAAACTTTTCAATCAAATTAGTTGATTTTCCTGTGCAAAATGAAATTATTTGGCTCTGATCTATCAAGATATAATTAAGATGTTGGCATAAAGATATAGTTAGGTATTATAAATTTAAATGAATTTTTCTATCTCGGTGATGTTTCCAAGTCCAAGTGCAAAGTACAAAATGCTGCCATGATTTCTGCTCCCAATTAGATACAGTCTTCTGGTCGAGTTCTACAAATTGCCAAGGCCCTGTTAGAAGACGCTGGCAGATACACATGTGTGGCTACCAATGCAGCTGGAGAAACACAACATCACACTCAATTGCATGTGCATGGTAATGTAATTTCCACATCTCAACAAAAGAATATTTTTATGGCTTTTGAAAAAAATGATGGGCCCATTTTTATTGAATTACAATATAAAAGAAACGAGTGTTTGAGTTCACCTGAAAAAAATCTAGATAAAATTTATTGTAATCTTAATTGTTAGTAATAAGATCTTCGGTTTTCAGGTTGTCAAACAGGATGTGTGGGATCCCATAAATAATACTAATTTTACATTTTAAATTATCTGTACTCTGTTATTTATCTGTAAGTTTTCTGTATTCAGTTGCCTGCTTAAAAGAAGTATTTCATTATTAGATGGTATCCCTGGTTTAAGATCTACTGTGTGCTTTAATAAAAAGTATAGTGGCAATGGAACAAGTCGATAGTATTACCAGACTTTAGATTTCTAGAGGCTCATCAAGTCAAGTTGAGAATTGAAGACTTCAACTTTCCTAATTTAGCCAGGATATTTGCATAAAGCTACCCAATATCTCTGTGTACACATTATTTTCTCTAACTCATATGACTGCTTATTCAGTCCTCCCTCCCTCCATTTATACCTCCCTCCTTTTCTTCCTCCCTGTATTCACTCCACTAAGGAATTGAACCTAGAACAACTTACTAAGGAATTGAACCTAGAACAGCTTACTAAGGAATTGAACCTAGAACAATGCTCCTGCACCCAACTTAATTCCAGGTACATAGTGGATTTTTAAACAGTATTAACAAAGCAAAGAGTAAGTAGAAAGTGAATGAAAGAAATTCAATTGGATATTGCATTCTTCTGATTTGTTTCTTTGCATATTTTATTTTAATCATAAAGGTAAGATTTATTACCTATCCCCTAAATGTTTCTTTAAAAAAAAACAATATATTTTTTCTCGAGTTCTCCAGATAGAAACACCTAATTTAACCATATTTACACACATAAAATCCACGTTCCTTATAAGGGCCTTTATTCTTTCCCTGAGTAATTAATTTGAAGAACATTGTCTGAATGTAACCATTTGAAATTGGCTCAGCATGATTAGGGAGTTGAGAGTTTGATGATATTGTCCGTTAAGTTACAGTACCTTGAATTTATCTTGTTCCTCATAAGATCACCTGTGTCTTCCTTGGGCTCTTTGTCTTGTCTGCAGAGTCTACTTAGATTTCTACCTCCATCTAAGAATGTGTTGAACTTTCTCTTCTCTATCCTAGTTTCTTCCCCTGAGGCTCCATGTTTTTCTTCTTCCATATTAAAAACCCAGCTTCCTGAGCCCAGCCCCCTAGATCTCTTGAAATAGCATTTCTGAAATAGGTGGACGGTGCCTCAGTATCTGGAGAAATATTGGGCCACACACTAAAGATTGATTTATAGACCTGTAAATGTAGTCAAGAATAACTCAAAACCAGAGTCTGAAGAAATCAAGTATTCCACCAAATACAGAACAACAATAGAAAAAAAAAAGCAGAATATTGATACCAAGAAAACACAATTCTGTAAACCTGTGATCTGAATATGGAAACAAAATGTCATTTCTCAGGAGATGTAATTAGGGTGCACATCTACATAGAAAATCATCAAAGAGAAGAGCCAGCTGGAGAACATCTGCAATAATGTAAAAAGAGAAACAGAAAGTCATTAAAAATGTTTTTTAAATCCTGCCAAATCTGTTGGAGCGTATAAAACAATCTTCTTGATATAAATTGTCACATATTGTAGTACCTTAAAACATTTCATCTAATATGACCTGGATTTGTCTGGATAACAATTCATCTCCCTGCAGAGAGAATAGATGATGAAGTGAACTTCTGCTCTAATACTTCCTGGAGGAAGTGGCCAGCTAAGTGCATGTGACTGGAATCTGGACAGAAAGGTGCATGTCATCTTGGCACTCATGATAACAGTGTCACCTTGGATACCTGAGACTTCAAACTTGACTTTGTCTTCTTTGATATTTGTATTAATAACTTCAGTGATAATTGGGGATGTTTAGAAAGCATATGAATTTCTAAGAAATTGTTTAATGAAAGACTTTAAAATGACTTCAGAGGTCAAAAGGACAAGTTAATATAATATGAAAAACTGTATAATAACACAGTGTGAAAAGCATGATTTCAATAGTGCACATTTTGAAATACTAGTATTATTTGGATTTTTGCAGTTACGGTAGATATGTTCATTCGTTTTCATAACAGGGTGAATCAGTACTAGGGGTTTGTAATAGAAGTTATGGGATGAGGAATAAGAGAAGAATTACCCTGTCTTACTCTTTGAATGGTTCCAAAGTATTATGTCCATTTCTGGTGATATACATTAAGAAAGGCATTTAAGAAAACTATAGGGAAGCAGTTGTCATTTATCTTTTAACTAATTTATTTAACTAACTCATTAGTTACTTTTGATGTTAGAACTTACTTTATCCCCAGTCTTTATTGATGGGTAACACATTCAACAAATATACATTACAGTTGTCATCCAAAACATTCACTCCTAAAATATTTAGCGTTCCAATTGTATAATGTTTTCCCATCTTATAAAATGATCTTAGATACTGTCATTCTTCTCAGTCATGGAAAAGAATGTTTCTAATAGCTGAATTAATGGTGTGTGTTCTCTTGGACTAGAAGACCAAGTCATGATCATAAGAAAAGAAATATTTTCATGTCTATTTTAAAAGGCAGGAACCTCAGTAGGTGGTCTTTTTCATCATCAAAGTTTCATAATTGTGGAAGTTTTTATTCTCTAGACCAAACTATGAAATTATATCTAAACCTCAAATATTTGCCAAGAGAGACAGATGTTTCCACAAACAAATGACTATTTGAGATATAATAGCTGAAACATTCATTTCATCTGCACATAATTATTTCCTAGGAAAAAATCAACCAAGGTGAAGCTACTAGAAGAAATAAAATGTAGCTGTAAGGATAGACTTCAAATTTGGTTTCTACATTGTCAATTAATACTTATGGGATATTAAGCTTAGATATTAATTATCTAAAACTTACAGTACTCTTCTGTAAAATGGAAAGGATAATGATAATACCTCATAGTCATGGGCATTGTATGAGGATTAAGTGAAAAACTCCCCATGAAAATCTTTGGTTCCTGGCTTTTAGTCAGCGTCTGTAAATGGTAGCATGAAGACAGTTCTGGTTAAACACATGTCTGGCTTCTGGACCTTTTTACTGCATCGTTTTAGCAAATATACCTAAAGTCCTACTGACTTTACTGTTGACCCCTCTTAGTAAAAGCATTAGTAGAGCACCCATTATTTTAATTTTATTTAAAAAAAATTATTTGCTTGGCTAACCTCTGCAAACACCCGCTCAAAAAAAGGCTTCTCTATCATTTCTGTGTTTTGTGTAGTAGCTCACTTATGGCCTAAAGGAGACTTGGGAATGCTGGAGGGAACAATTCCTTCTCCTCTTCCCCCTCTCCCTCCCCTTCTCTCCTCCCTCCTGCTGTCCTCTCCTCCTCCTTCCCCTCTCCACTCTCTTTTTCTTTTTCCTCTTGGATAAGTTCAGTTCATGGTTCTACTAGACTATCTTCTTGTTGTGACTGACTTCATTTACCACTCTTTCATACTTTCTATGTACAGGAAAGAATAAACTTCCTCAAATCATTTTTAAAGCAATTATGTGTTAATTCAAATTTAACCAGGATTACAGAGACAATTCATACTCTGAGTGATTAAAAGAATAAGCAGAGTCTATCTCATACTGCGTGAAGACGTGATTTGGGCATGATATGCACATGCAGTTTTTGGAAGAAAAAGAAAGAAGAACAAATGCATTAAGTTGAATGAATTCACCTTTTTGCCTGGAGAATTCAGACATCTTATTGATAAATAAGATACTGTTACTTTACTGATGCTCTGTCTAGAACAGTGTTCTAAATTCACGACTATATTTAAATAGTTCTAACTATTGAACTGATTATTTTTATCTAAAAATTAGATTTTTCTTATATTTATTGATTTATATTGGAACACTCTGTCTAAAACTGAGCCAATGAATAATCATAGGATTTGGTAGGCTGGATTTTAACTTATTTGGCAAACAGTCCCCTTAAGAATCAGTAGATTTCCAGTCTACTGTTTCCTGTCAGTCCCATGTGCTAGTAATAACACCCAAAGACCATCCTCACATGGCAGGTATTTGGTCTTTAGCTGTCGTTTTTTAGTTACAGACATTTAGTTACTTGACATGTTCAAAGCATTTTTTTAAGTGACAGCTACTTTGAGGTCACCTGAAACAATCAGCTAAGATATCATCCTTAAGTTTGCTAAGCCTGGCTGAGAAGACTTAATGAAAACCATTCTATTTTTTTTTAATGGTAATTTTTGTCTTTTAACTATTTGTAGTAGAAAAAGCAATTGGGGTTTTTGATCCCCAAAGCTGTAAATTATGTTGAAATTCAAAGACCAACAAATCAAATTCTTTATCTTATTTTTATGAGATTTTTGTAGGTCAATTATGGGAACTCTTTCATCTTTGATTGATGCTTATGTATTTAAAATTCTAATCTGATGATCATTTATACACAGATCACAGATATAAGTCACAGACTAGAAAATACACCTTTTTGAAGTGTAAAATTCAATGATTTCTAATACGTTTACAAAGTTGAGTAATCATCACCACCATCTAATTTCCGAAGGCCACTACCTAATTCTAATTCATCCCCCCAGCCTCTCACATATCTTCAGATCAAAGGAAGAATTGCCGCAGTGGTATTTTATCCTTCCAATAAACATGGGTTTCTTTCTATTTACTTAGATCTCAGTGTCTTCAATTTATTTCAGTGATATTTTGGAGTATTTTGTTTAAAAGTTTTGCACACTGGTAAAATTTATTTTTTAATATTTATTTTATGTATTTATGAATATTTATTTTAATGTTATTATAAATTGAGCAGTTTTATTAATTTCACTTTCAGATTTTATTGCTGGTATATAGAAATATATATGATTTTTATGTATTGATCCTACTGATCCAATGTCTTACAACATTGACAAAC